AGTTTAAGGACTCTTTTTATTGACTTATTTAATAAATGAAAAATATAAACTGTGGATTGCACCCTTACTGGCTAACAGGGTGAGTTGAAGGATGTTTTTTTGTATAGATATTTTAAAATACTCTAGGGTATTGTCTTAGATTAAGAGTATTAGTAGGTCAAGAGATAAAATGTTAATTTATTCATTTCCTAAAGTATTCAAATGTGGAACTGTCAATTAACATTCTACAAGAAACTATATAACTTACATTCTATCTAACCTTGAGTGTATTAACTCCTTCCTTTATTTGATGAGGTGTAAAATCACTATACTTTCAGGACTTTTATAAATCGGCCGCTTTAATTAATAAGAAAGCTCATCTTAAAGTTGAAGGTTTAGTTGAGCTTCAGAGTATAAAATGAATTTAGCTAGGTACTAAATAATAATAGGAAGATAATGGACAAGATATCTACTAAATATTGTGTGATTGGGCGTTCGATTCGTCTCTCTTCCGTAGCAGGCCAAATTTGTAAGGTTTACCTTTGTTTTATCACTTCCCCCTATAAGGGGTAAAATTTATCCGAGCAATATGTCAAACTTGTTTATTATAGATGAAATATATACTAGTGGGTTTAAAACAGGAGCTTTAGATATTGTTTCAATATTTGCAATATTATGTGCCATTTTAACAATTGTAAGTAAAAATCCGATAGTATCTGTTCTATTTTTAATAGGATTATTTGGGAGTGTATCTTCTTATTTAATATTATTGGGTTTAAATTTTATAGGTTTATCTTACTTAATTGTTTATATAGGTGCTGTATCTATACTATTTTTATTCATTTTAATGCTAATTAATATTAGAGTTAGTGAATTACAAAGTAATACTAAAAATAGTATACCTTTAGCTTTATTTATAACAATCTTTTTTAATTATTTAGTTTTCCAATTCTTACCATATGATTTAGCCATTTTAAATAATTCAAATAATTCATTAAATAATGTATTATACCACACTTCATTTAATGATGCTCCCTCTGAAAAAATATTTAATACTACTAAAATCTCAAATTTAGGAGGAGAAAGTTCTGATCTATTTTTTGCAACAAGTAGTAGTTGAGATGGAAATTTAATAGAAACAAGCCATATATCTAGTATAGGAAATATACTATATACAAGCCATAGTATGTGATTAATACTAGCCAGTTTTATTCTATTGTTAGCTATGATAGGTGCAATAGTTATTACAATAAAACAAAAAAAAAAAAGGGATTAGCTCAATGGTAGAGCAACCGTTTTACACACGGCAGGTTAAGTGTTCGAGTCACTTATTCCTTAAAAAGAGTATAGTTTAATGGCAAAACAAGGAGCTTCAACCTCCGAATTCTTAGTTCGAGTCTGAGTACTCTTGTATTTTTAAAATGTTCTAAATTCTTTAACTTAACGGTAAAGTGCATTTTTGATAAGAATGAAATTCAAGTTCGATTCTTGGAAGAATTAAAAGGTGAGCAAAATAGTAATGTGATTTGTTATAAAAGAGAATTGACTGAGTGGTTTAAAGTGTCAGCCTTGAGTACTGGTATGGGGATTCTCCATCATGGGTTCGAATCCCATATTCTCTGTTGTGTAGCTAGTCAAAAAGCACAAATTTACCTTTTACAGATTAGGGCCGGGTTGGTTAGGCGCTCCTTTTGGGAAGGAGAATAGTTGCGTTCGAACCGCAATAATCTGATATGGAATTAATAGCCCCGGGGGGTAGGTAGAGAGGTGACTGATGCTAGGAACAAGATCATCCACTTGGATAAGAATACCTTAGGAGAGGCGCTGGTCGCTACCAGGTCTAGGTTAATAACGATAACAAAGACGCAGTCCAAAAAAGAATATAGCCTTCGCATTATTGGAAACGCCCAGCGTCAGAATCTTGAAATACCGTACTGCCGGCGATTCAGGTAGTGCCCAACCTCGAGGAGGTGAGCGGCGGTACGGAAAAAGAGGGGCCGTAGTCTGGTCCCTGTCCCGTCAATCCGGATAAAGCAGGTCAAAGCTCCCAGGGGACCGAAATACGTACCTTACAGACTGCCCTGGTCTTTAGAACAAATTGAGGCCCCACCTTACAGGGATCTAGCATTGAGGTTGTCTCTTACCGCCTGGGAGAAATGGATGTCGCTCAGGCTTTTTTGACCATTGTATCTCCACCAGTCGGTCGCAGCCCGGCAGAAAAGAAGAAAAGGAAAAAAATCCAGCCACTTCTGCCAACCCCCACGTACGGACGTTCGTACCACCCCAAGAGAATCCTGGAACACCCAGGACCGAAACGAAATCGGTGCAAAATGGCGTCAAGCGGAGATCAGAAGCCTTTGAGCACTGGAGATCTGAAGCTTCAGGCCGAGGGCAAGGGTAAGAATGCGAGCCCGGAACCCAAGATGCTTTGCGCGCCGGCACCCGCCAACACCACCTGCACTCTGCATTACTAACCAATTCGTTCACTCACAGAAAAGAAAATCCAGCGCAAACGCGAACAGAGCGAGAAACGTCAGGCCGCCAACGAGGAGAAGAAGCAGCTCAAGGCGCAAGCCAAGCGCGCCGCAAAATCGGTGGTTCCAGCATGCCAGGCCACCGACAAGGCAAAGAAGGAGGAGCGCAAGGGAAGGAAAGACGATAAGCAGTTCAACCGCATGCTGAGACAGGCCGACAAGCTCGAGGCTCAAGCCAAGAAGCTCTTGGCCGAGGCTGCGCAGGCGCGCGCGAGACACGCGGTCATGGTTGAGAAGAGAGCGGTAAGTCCACCACATAGGATGGCGGTGGTGGGTATCTCATAGGGATAAGAAGTGAATCGCTGACAACGCGGTTTTATAGAAGGACGCTGCCGAGGAAGAGAAGAAGAAGGCCCTAGCTGCAAAGAAGGACAGCAAAGATCTCAAGATCTACGACGACGACAGTGACTCAGATTCCAATTCCTCCTCGGACCCATCATCATCATCTTCGTCCTCCTCAGACTCGGATTCAGATTCAGACTCAGACTCGGAAGCGGAAGAGACCAAGGGCGGCGCTGCTGTGGAACAAGATGAGGATGTCGAGATGGAGCCCGAGTCACCAAACCCTAGCGCACAACTCCGTGCTGAAAGTGAGGCAAGAGCCATCACCAAGGAGCAGGAGACGGAGGTCGATCAAGAGGAAAAGAAGCCTAAGAAGTCAAAGAAAGCCAAGAAAAGTAAGAAGGTCGAGGAGAAGATTGAGGAGGTCAAGGAGCCCAAGGAGCCAACCCCCGCCATGAAGGAGAAGAAGGATAAGAAGAAGAGCAAAAAGTCCAAGGTTGTAGAGGAGGTCGAAGAAGAGGTGAAGCAGCCCAAAAAGTCCGACAAGAAGCGCAAGCGCTCAAGGGAGCAGGACGAGGACGAGTCTGACGGCGGTGTTGCAATTACTGAGGAGACCCCTAGCAAGAAGTCCAAGAAGGACAAGAAGAAGCAGAAGAAGGAAGAGAGCGAGGTGCATGATACCAACACTGCTGCTGCTGAGCAGTGGGATGTCGGACACCTGGGAGGAGGTGCAGACCGTCAGCAAAAGTTCATGCGTCTTCTCGGTGGTGGAAAGAAGGGTGCTGCCGCACCTCAAGCTAGTGGTACCAAGGGCAAGCGTGATATCAACAAAATCACCCAGGAGCTCGAACAGCAGTTCCAGGCTGGTGTGCACATGAAGTATGACGCTGGCGGCCAGCGTCGCGGTCTCGGCGCATAAACTAGTCTTTCTCAAGCTGGGGAAGCTCTTATGGGCAAAACGTTATCCTCGTTGTAGCTGCATTAGGATGACTTTGTTATAGCTCTGGCGTTAGTTTTCATGAGGCAATATGCCCAGGACCAAAAAGGGAACCAAAAGTCTTGTCATATAGAATAAAAGTGAATTGCTTTTATCGAGGAGATTGCTATGAACGAGCTGCCTCCGAAAGGAAGAACAAAAAAGGGGAAACTTGAAATACAGTACGCCGGCAATCGGATGTTTTTGCTTTCCCATGAAAGATAAGAAAGCGACGTGTGGCATTTTTTTGTACAGACTTGTTCCCACCACTGGAAGCAAGGTGCTGTCTGGGATGTGGGCTGGATTCCCAAATGTTCCACAATAAGAACATTCTTCCCCCCTTCCCTCTCCATTATGAAGGGGAGGCTGAACTGCGTCTTGTCTGACCGCATTATCCCTTTCCAACCGTTGCAATTGCTTGTGACCTCAAGTCGACAGAGGATGCTTGCTTGGGTAAAACGAGTGTAGGCCTAGACACCACACCGCTGGTGTAGCTCCCTCTATTCTGCGGACTTTGTCTCTTTCATCCCCTCATTAACTTTTTTGACTGAGTACGAAGACGGGGCGGCTCAAATTAGAAGCCGAACATGCGTGAGAGGACCTCGAAAACGATACCGCCAAAGACGACGAAGCCGAGAAGGACTATAGAGAGAAAATATATTAGTGATCGGCTTTCAAGCCAAGCAAGCAGCTTCTCCACAGAAGACTGTGACTGATCGCAAAGGGGGGCAAGATGATGCGAATGGGGACAACGCACTGAGCCAGATGGGAGAAATGGGCGACTTGGGCGCCTCTTTGGTGCGCTTCTTGATCTGATCCTCAGATTTGCCCATGCGGGACTCATTGTCTTTGGCGAACTTTGCGTTTGCGCGTCTCTGTTGGGGTGTTTGCGCCTATGAATCGAGTGTCAGCAACGTCGTGACGAAGAAGCTGTAGCCCAGCAAGTATCAAGTTTGAAGCCATAATGCACGACTAATCCTGATGCAGTGCTTCGGTGCGAGCTGAGCTGGAAGTTGCATACCATTGTGGTTATGTGTGTGGATTTACGAACGTGCTGCGGTGATGTGGTCTGCTCGATGCGATTCTTTGGTGGTTTGCTCCTTTTTCCGTTTGTTCAATGTCGATATTGGCCGTTATATAAAGCGCTGGATGGCAAATGGTAAACGTGGTGTTTGGTTGAGCTCGTGCGTGAGAGACGAATTGTCGAAACGGTGTCGAGAGAAGAGAAGGGAAGCTGGTTGAAGGGACAGATTGCGCGAGGGAGCTTTGGGGCTAAGAGCGGTTGAAGCTAATTACCACGAGGGGAGGTGGTAAGGTGGTTTGCCGTATTACCTACCTTAGCTTACTAGGTACCTTGCGAATACCCGCTAAGCGCGGGTCCTCGAACTTCGTACGGGAATTGCCCTTTCTCCCTCCAGGACCTCCAAGCGACCACCACCACCTCCACCCTCAGGTAACTTCTGGTTGATTGGGACATGTGTCGTCAAAAGAAATACGGGGCCCTTGTCTGTTCGGGGCCAGGGGTGCCGAGCCCATGCGCCGCTCAATCAGAGGGGACCTATGGAATGAGGTACCTTGACCCCTGGACGAAGCACATTGTGCCTTCCGCCACAGGCAAGGGCGGGACCCGCAATGCCGTAGGGTGGTCGACGCGCTCCCGGGTTATGCGGGGGATACGCGCACCGCCACAAATCGGCGCGGCGCGGCGCAATTGGATTGAATTCGAGTCTTTGGAGGAGCTCATGGGAAACGGACAAACCATGCAGGCTACAAAACGAAAACCGCCTGCGATATCCACGGAGAAACTGCGAATACCCTCATCACATTAGGGAACGAAACATTTGCGATTGTCTCGTCACGACACCTCCCCGAAGCACCGATCCACACGAACGGCAGAGAGGCGACGACCGACCGAACAAGACGCAGCCCATCATGGCCGCGCGCAGCAGCACCATGATCCTGAGCAGAGCTCTCCGCTCCCAGTGCACACCACAAATGCCCCGGACGGAATTGCGGCTCTACTCAACATCCGTGGATGGGGAGAAGAGGCCCTCCATTGTGGTTTGTGGACCCCAGTCACATCCTCTGCGACAGCTGTTGCTCTCTTTTTTTATTTTTTTATTTTGAAGGGGAGCCGAATCGCAAGAAGCTAACACGAAAGCTTCGAACGACAGGGGAACTTTTACAAAACTTTTACCCGACCCGTCCTCAAAGTCCTCCTTATGGCGACGTTCACGTATCAGGTCGCCTACTGGAGCTGGACGAAGCTCGAACAAGACGAGATTCGCGGCGAGAAGAACAAGGAGATTGATGGTCTCGAGGCGAGGGTCGCAGAGCTGCAGACGGGGAAGGGGTCTGGGGATCAGAGACATGGCGGGTGAGATGGAAGAGCTGTGGAAAAGGAACAGACTGGAAGTTGACCGCGGTCAAACGGAATGGAGAAGGTTGATGTCGATGTGAGAAATGGGAGCGAACGCTAGAATGCGCGAACGAAACACATTACCGCCTCGAAAATCGGCACGTAAAGGCGGAGTGGCTGATAAGCAATACTTAATCTCTGTATTTTCTAGGTTGACCACATTAGAGCCTGGCGGCGAGCTGTGTGAGCGTCAGAGTCAAAAGTGGCTGTATCTATTGACTTGGCTACAACGGGCTCAGGATCGCTCTGAGCAGTATGCGAAATGTATAACACTGTACGCTACTATTGGCATGTTTCGAGCCTCTGGCCAGACCATGGAATTCGTCTTCCGAGAACTAATACATACATATATAGAGGGAGAGAGAGGTCTGCGAGATCATCTAACCATCTATCCGTAATCCTTTAACAATTCCTCCCAATACGGTCAATACAGCCGAGAAAATATGTGGAGACGTCTTTATCCTCCTCAGCTTCAAAAAGACATCATATCATAAACGCCGATGCCATGCAGTTCATCCAGAAAACCCTCATTACACTGTCCCATCATGCCCGTTACCATCCATTACACAAAAAGTCGGCCGTCAATCTACTTCAAATGAACGCCCTCTGCGGCATCAGTGCTGCCGTCCTTTGCTAGACACCTAGAGTATGACTGCGCTGAGTGTACCAAGAACGAGTGCCGATAGTAGACCCCATGAAATTGATAGCACTGAGGATCTCGACGGGTTGTGAACAGCGCCTGGATAGTTGCAGGTCAGGCCATCACCCTGTTCCGCGTAGCTCGAATTGAAAATATCGTCATCCGGGGTGGGACAATCGAAACCTAGCGAAGCCGGACAACTTTGTACCAAGTCATAGCAGAGGTAGGCGCAGGGGAGAATCTCCCGGTACGGACCTGGTTCGACCATCTCGTCGATGAGAGGATTTCTCGAATGCTGATTAACCCTGGAATCATATTTGCTTTGCTGGTCGATTGGGAGAAGGGTTCCGTTCGGAAACGTTTGGTTTACGTTCCGAACTAATGAAAAGTTGGTAGGACTCGTAAAATCCTCGCATCGCGGAATCGTCACCGAGCACAGCCACTTCTTGTATGCAGTCTCGCAGTCGGAACAGTTTCGCGCGAGAGAGTACTGTTGTACTGCTGGCGCCTCGCAAGCTACCTGGGCAAGCTGCTTCTGGAAGTTGGCGTACATATCTCTAGCATAGTTGTCGTAGAACTGCGCAAGCTGAGTGATATTCATCTTGTTAGAGTTGGCGGGCACAGCGTACTCCGTCTCATTGCAAAATTGTAGGTCTGTGACGATCTTGCAGTTATCTCCTAAACACAGAATCAGTCATTGTCGAAATTTTTCACGCGGCCGTTGTACGTACCATCCTTGGTCTCAAATGGCGTCGCTTCAAAAACCTTCCCTCCGCCGCCACTTTGACCGCCATCTTGACGCTTTTTCGAAGGTGACAGATTGCTAGTGCGGACCAGGATACCCGTGTAGAGAGCACTTGCGTTGAGTCCGTTGAAGAAGAACTGCTGTTTAGGTAGATTGCCTGCGCCTCTCGTAGTCATGAGAGTGCTGGCGAGGTTGCCAAATTTGCCGCCCTTCTTCGCAGCGATTTGAGCGTAATTCTCCAGTCCGCACATAGAATGTCGAACGCCTTTGGTAGTGGGCTGCTCTCGGTTCTCGACGAACATGATGAATGGGGGACCTTGCTGCATGATCTCCTGTATCAAAGTCTCATTCTGAGAGGTCGTCAAGTTCTGTGTCGTCAGGAGTGCAGCACTGGAGTCACTGTCAACCCAGAGGAGCTCGGAAGGATTCCCATCAAAGCTGTGGAAGTAGTCGTCGGTCGACGCCGCAACATCGAAGTTCCAGTCTCCTGTGAACATGTCGGTGTCCTTTGGGGGTGCGCCTATTCCAATAAAGACGTCACCTGTGGCATTTATGCTGTAGGTTACCGCGCCTTCTTCGAAAGTGATCGCCTTTTGTAAAGTAGAATTCTGTCCCGGTCCGGGTGTCTGATTGTCCTGAGACGTCGAAATGTACATGGTGATCTGTGGCGCGTCCTCCTCCGTGTTGTTCGCCGCACGCTGTGGCTGTATGCACGTGGTCGCTGAGATGTACACGGTCCTTCCCTGAGCTTGCCTGCGGCGTAGGCCGCGCTCTTCGTCCTCTGGCTTGACGCCTTCGATGCTGACTAGCTCCGGTGTGATGGGCTCATTGCTTCCTTGGCGACGTTCTACTACGAACGCCTCGTCCGTCCCATCGAAGAAGTTGGCAAAGATTGTGATAGCCTCGAAGACAAAGTTCTGGGTCGTATTTCCGGGGACATTTCGGTTCACTTGAACATTATTCGTCAGACCCGTTACACCGGCGGGTGCTCTTCCAATGATACTGCGGTCGAAGGCAGCGAATTCAGGCTCGTAGGTGGACTCGGGGTTGCTTCTTTGCTCGAGAGTGTGGTCGAATTGGATGTCGTCAAGGATTGGTTGTGTAGCGCTGTTCAATTCCGCAGCGAGGGCGAAGGTAGGCGTAGACAGTAGATAGTAGAGAATAATGAGCAGTAGCGACGCAATCAGCGAGGCCGCCAGTCGCGATTGCAGAGGGCTGAGTTGCATTGTGAGGACATGCCCTCCGGGAGCAGATGCCTTTGAACCTCTTCTTGCTGAGACGCTGTTCGCTATGGTGATCTCTTGCCGGCGAGTAGGGGAATCCGAATGTTGGCGGGAATGTATGATACGCTCAGCGAGCGTCGCTATGTCGCTATCCTTGGTCGCAAATTGGCCGTACCCACCGGCTCATTCCATTCGAGTGCGTCTATCGGCGGAGTGAGTGTCGTCTTGCAGCCTGTCAAGCGAAAGCGAAGCTACCAAACAGGTTAGAGAATCGGAAAAGGCCGTCAACTAGAAACGGGTAAACGGAGGCGGTCGAGGTATGGCGGAGATGGACTTGGGGAATTTAGAGAGGGAGGGAAAACAGCCTTTGTCGTTTTGACAGTTTCACATCCCAAACAGTTGAGAGGCGGGCTACAGGCACACGACCTCCCATGGCGGCTCTAAAAGGCCAGCACACGCTGAAGATCCCGCAGAGTTGATGTAGGAGCTCAACCCGGAAGTGTGGGGGACCCCTTTCCACTTCAGTTTCCACGTCTCGGGATTCTCGGCCAGCCCGCTGGGGCTACATTACCCTCGCCAAAGGTCCCTAAAAGGCCCCCTAAGGCTCAGCTGCTTTGCGGCTGGTGGCCCTGTAGACGGGATGGTAGTTAGGCCCATGGACATGGTAGCGGCAAAATCGGCACCGGCAATCACACTTTCCCAGCATAAGCCCGTTCGTTGCCTGACTTGCTAGAGTTTGCGCTACACCACATCCTGCGCTGGCGGGCGTGACATTGAGGTCTAGCCAAATGTTCTCTGCAACAAAAAGCGAAACGACGCCGAGAGACCTAGGACTAGGAACGCTGCAGGTTGCCCCAAATATGCCACCCTGCTGCTGTTCCGGTGAGTTGTTCCGGTGATATACAATAATTCCAACCCGGATTCCTGCGTCAATGGGGCAACAAGATGACAGCGGGCAGCAGCAATGACATGCCGACTGGTATGAGAAATGCTCGAATCATCGTTCCTATTACGGCCTCCACAGTCTTGGACTCGACTTTACCAATGCGAGACGGTCTTGTACGACGCTGAGCGGCGCTGGCATGCGATCCATGTCAGGGTCTAGCAGCTTTAATGCATGATGCCCACTCGACGGTTTGCTGCTCTAGTTGCCCATGACAAAAGAAGCATGTATCGCATCTCAACTATCTCTTTGTCTCGAAGCCACCACTCTTAATCCCGCACAACGCCTGTGACATGTTTCCACATTTTCACCAAGGGAACGACGTCCAGACAGTGGCAACGTATGTCGCACGATATTTTTTAGCATCGAATACTGTCTCTATTCCACTACAGAAGTCATTGACTCCGTATTCCTTAGCATACAGTAACTTTAGTTGGGTGACAGGAACTAGTTCAACTGTTTGTCGTGGCTCTCGCGTCCCTGAAGCCCTCGACCAAATCTGAACAAGCCATCAACGTTGTCTTATAGTGTGGTTATGCTAGCCTCTGGCACTCCATCCCGCCCTCTTTGTGCTCTAGGTCTCTCCACAACGTCCGTTTGACTAAGGTAGCTCACCATTATCACTGGGATGAAGCCGGGCCAGCTGTATAACTCGTCCAAGGCAGATCTCTCAAGGTAATCGACCTGTTTGATGAGCCAGTGCTGGGGCGCACTTACTCAGCCTTACCAGCCTGGGCGCGGAGGCCGGAAGCGGTGGAGGCACCGGCGAAGTGCTTGGCGAGCATGGGGGAGAGGAAGGAGTTGAAGATGATCTCAGCACCGCTATCGCCAGTCAGCGCAAGCTGTCAAGGTTCGGATTGGACGGAACGTACCGGAAGGTGGGCAGAGCGAGCCACAGCAGGAAAACGAACTTGAAGGTGAAGTAGAAGGGAAACCAGTAAACAACGTTGACAAGGCTCTCGGCAACGCTATATCAAAGTTAGTTTTGAACATCCCCTGCACATTGAAGGGGAACCAACGTGAAGAAGGCAAAAACAACCCAGTACTAGAGTCCATGTTAGCGAGGTTTGGGCTTCTACGATTGCGGGGGAGAAACATACTGTCAGCCACTGGGTATCATCCTGCTTGCTGGTGGTGAACAGAGCGTTGAGGGAGTAATAACCCGGAATCACGAAGCCGGCAAAGTTGGTCAAGAGCTGACCGCCCAGGTTGAAGATAATGAGGAAGAAGTAGAGGGAAGCAACGCCGATGACAGCGTAGGCCTTGGGAACGTTGGTCGACTTCTCGATGTTGTTCAGGGCGGGGTACTTGGACAGCTATCAAAGACGTCAAAGTCAGCCAACGTGTAACAAACGTCTTATAGCAGCTTGCGCAGGCAATGTTACCTCACGGTCGAGCTGACCGATGTAGTTCTGAACGCGATCCTGGGCAGACATGTTGGCGGCTGGATGGGAGCTTGGTTGGGTAGCAAAAGCTGTGCGTTAATGCGCTATGATAAGGGTTAGGACCAGGCCAGGTTGCAGCAAAAGAGACCCAGAAAGGACTCGATGCGGGTGGCGGGAACTGACAGTGGTTTGGTGAGGGACTTGGGTAGCTTGCAAAAGTACGCGAGATGCTGTTGACGATGTTAGAATGTAAAGTTCTTGACGAAATTACAGAGTATGGGGTTGAGTGACCTTGAGTCTGCGTTGGAATTAGCAGGTGAAAGGGAAAAGGCCGGATGACGACGTAACGTGTGTAGATCTGGCCAGTAGGAATGGTCTGAGTGCTTTGCGTCGAGCTTCAGTCGGGGCTAATGGGGGTTAGGAGAGGGGCACAAGCACGAGACGAGGTGAGCACGGCGCGGCTTGTTGTAGCTCCTAGTCGCATCCGACTTTGTGTGCCGGGCAACTTTGCCCTGGGATCCATGTCCTTCGTGTTAGCGGATACTTTCTGTGGCCATGGCTCGGATGGTGTCAGATTTCGGTCTTACAGGTTCAGTCTTCAGCCAGCGAGTGTTTTCTGGCAGGGTATGTACGGATGCCACAGCCGGTCCGCACTTACCAGGTAGGTACCTAAGGTAACCTAAGGTAACCTAAAGTACGGTGAGATAAGATAAGAATAGCCGAGCTCCCTTGCCTTCCCACGCTTCCTTACCTTACCTGAGGTAGCGAAAGGTGGGGAAGACTCGGACCCAGTTGTGCTGCATTGCTGTTGTGATGTTGTATTGATGCCTGATGATCAAGGCATGAAGGGTCACCCTCAGAGGAGGATTGCTGCTCTTTGACCTGGCTGGACAGATCTGGCTGTGGCTTCTCCGCGTATTTGGAACAAAGTAGCGTCTATACGTACCGACGCCAGAGCCAAAAGCCAGAAACAGACAAAGTAAGCAGACCCCACATCACAGACTCCTAACCTAACAGCGCACTGGCCAATTGGAAAACACAAACACGACCAAGCTGTAATGGGACTGGCTGCTGCAGGTTGTTTGGGAACCATCCAATCCGCTGTCACGGCAGGATGCACCACACGCTGCAATGACTGGCCATTCCCGTCACGTGAGTCGCCCAGCCACGCCAATCCGTTGTTCCAAGACCTGAGTGGAGGCGACCAGCCGAGCCTTGGTTGTCAAGTCAACAAAACAGTGGAAAGCCTCCCAAAACATTTCCCACATCCACACTCTGCTTCTGGTCCTGCTCTCCCCCGACCACGTCCTTTAAGATCTCGACGCTCACCACGGCGCATCGCGCTCTTCAAGGCTGCAGGGATTTCGGATTGCTCTCTCGACCTCGACGCCTCCTCTTTTCTTTCTCACGCATTTGTCCTTGCTCGGCGCACGTTGACTTCTTCATTGTTTGGAAACGGCGTCCTGCATGATCCGTGTGTTTTCATCGCAAAATAACAACATCACAACCTCACCGAGCTGACAGGCAACGAATAATGGAGCACGGTACGATCCATAGCCTCTCCAGGCTTGCTCCATTACAACGAGAGCATTTCTCTGTGTATTTTTCTTTGACTGACGGGCTTATGTAAACAGACCACCTCGCCCAGGCCCTCAGGGCGAAGAAGAGACCTCAGTCTCGGGCATCGACTGCTTCTGTTCATAGTATCTCCACGCAGCCTACCATGGAACAGCAACAGTTCGCCGACGCGCCCGACTTGTACTCGGCACAGTGGGTCAACAACGACCAACGGCAGCAGAGGAGCCTCGCACCCGCGTCGCGGATCACACCCGAGGAGATGATGCTCCATGCAGCTGCTACCCAGATGCAGAACGCCCGCGAATACTCGATGCCACCAGGTATGAGTGCCTCCATGAGCCAGTCCAGCGCTCACATGGGCCACTCAATGTCTTTCCAGCAACACGCCATGCAAAGACATCCGTTACCGTCCGAAAGCTTCGCCAACAACAGCTTCACCGACGACAGCCAAATGATAGATCGTGACGAGGACGGCGACTCTTTAGTCGGAGCCATGGGCATGCAGAAGTCGAGTTCCGCCAGGTCCAGTGCTAATAACGAGTTGGAAATGCGCCACCTCTTCAATGCCAACAAGCACCGCGGCCTACAAGATGTTGCCGGCGAACTGCACGGCAATGAGCGAGGCCCCAACTCCGAACGCACCCGACAAGTCTTTGCTATGCTTTGGATCAACTCTGTATGCACCAAAGGGAAGGGATCTGTACCGCGAGGCCGGGTGTATGCCAACTACGCGTCTCGCTGTGCCACTGAGAGAATCACGGTCCTTAACCCAGCTAGTTTCGGAAAACTTGTTCGCGTACTCTTCCCAGGTCTGAAGACCAGACGACTGGGCGTGAGGGGAGAATCAAAGTACCACTACGTCAACTTCTGCTTGGTTGACGACCAACCCGACCTCCGCGAACCCGAGCCTCACATTCCTGTGGCTATCTCCGAACCCCCCCGTTCTCAAAGCTTCAGCGCGGCACCCACCAAGGCCCAGCCTGCCGCTACCGTCTTGCCATCTCCCGAGGCCGCCAAGCGGCCAGAGAGCCCAGCTCAAAAAACGCATAACTCTTCGAGGTCGCATAGCTTCTATAGCCATCCGAATGTGACCAGCGCAGATCATCTGAACTCGTCGGCATCGAAGACATCACTCCAGTTCACATTCCCCTCGGAAGCAGATGAGCTCCTTCTTCAATCCAACGAACCTCTCGCGCTACCTCGGATGGAGCCTTTTCTCCCAAGTGGAACTGACGCCGATGCTGCCAAGAGCTTGTCTGCTCTGTACAGGTCCCATTGCACTTCACTCGTGGAATGTGTTCGCTACTGCAAGGAAAAGACGTTCTTCCATCTTTACACGTCATTCCAGGGCACGTTGACGATGCCCGTTCAGAAGCTACTTGGCCACCCTAGCCTCGCCCCTTGGATCGAGGAATGTGACTTCATCTTGTATCAACGCATGCTAAGAATCATCTCTGGGCTCACACTCCAGGTCGTGCCCAAGCCAGTGCTGGATACGCTGCGCGGTATCTCCGAGCGCCTCGTACCCCACATTCGAGAGGCTTTCCAAGGACAACCGCATCACGTTATTCGAGCCAAGGAGGCACCGGCAACCATCTTCGCGGCTCTTCTGGACCGAGCCCTGCGAGTCAACCTTACTGCTCATGCGGCAGCCAACATGCTGTCGAACCCGGCCAACCGCGACCAGATGTATCTCGACTGGATCACGATGGTGCGCGTGCGTAAGGTGGCGGAATGTGTTCCCACCCGGGGTATGGATGATCTCGTCAACTTACTTGTCTCCGAACTGCGGAATCTACTCAGCCCCATGAATGTTCCTTGGGAGGTGGAGTGCTTGACGGTCTATGGCGACATCGCCTTGAGAAACGGCCGCCAACCAGGCGCCGAGAGCGCGGGTGATCCCAATGGTCAGAATGTTCTGGAACGCTGGGTCGGGTTCCTTAAATCCCTCCCGATACGGTTTCCTTACGCGTCTCACACCGAGATCGTCTACGCCGTGCAAAGAGTCGGCACGGCTGTGATGCGGGATCTCACCATGGCTCAAGGCAAGAGTTTCGGCTCATGGTGGGTGACGAAATGCTGGATCGACGAAATGACTTGCTTCCTTGCCGAGCAGGGTGGTTTTCTTCAAATGAAGACATCAGGCGCGTCGGCAGCCGTAGCCAACCCTCAATCAGCAGTCCAGGAGGCAAATCGTCAAGGCTCCCGATTCAGCGCCGGCAGTGAAGAGTTCAACTTTTCGGGTCTTCCTCAAGCACAGCCAGACAAGGCACCGTTCCCACCATCGACGAGCCAGGGTCAGGTCGACTCTGCGGATATGGCGGCGGGGAACAATCCAGATGACAGCGGGATAGGGATCCGGACGCCGGAGGAAGACTTCCCCATGGATAAATACACCTTCTCGCATTCGGAGGTCAATCAAGCGTTGCTTGCCAACGCCGAGTTGCAACAATGACGAAAGGAGATCGAGTTATAGTCGCACCTGGCAAACCAGGTGTCATGTATCGATAGCCGCCTGTCAGACGGTCTCTTGTCGAGGCTTGATGCCAGAAGAGGATTGCCGACAACAGTGCGATGACGATGGCACGACTGCACGATTGTATGAGCGCGGAAAAAAGTCCTGGCCATTTGGCCTGGACACGTCATTGGGTACTGCGCCTGTTCATTTCTAGACGGGGTTTGGGTTTTGGTATATTTTGCGGTCGGTGTTTGACTTGCTTGGCGATTGCGGTCGGCATTTGCATTTGGTTCTCGTGGGTTTGCTATACCAATTGTGTCTGGTTCTGGGCAAAGCAACGGTACTTGCATTTATACGCTTATCTAGTTGTAATACAACCCGATAGGGAAGAGCTTTGAGCAGACTTTGTGTGTCTCTTTTTGATGAGTTGTTGATGCATCCAATTGCAGACTAACACTGCGTTGCCTTTTCTTCTTGTCGGCGAAGACCGCCGAATCATTTGGACGGCTGCTGCGGTGGTGTTGTGCAACACAGACTGGTTGTCACGAGTTACGGCGGCAACAGAGAGCTGGCAAGCTGAGCAGCGTCAAATGCGGCTATTTGACTGGGGGCGTGGGATCCCCGTCTGTCACTTCGTCACCGGCCGGCCCCTGATTCGCCATCCCCGCGCGGTCTCCAGGATTGGGCAACTAAAGTTTTTCTTTGCCAGAGGTTTCATAGGTTCCTCGCGAGACCGCAATGTGGAGTGGCTGGACGGGGGACGGGAGACGGCAGAGACAACGCAGAGGCTTGAAGAAACGAGCACGACGGACGCACACAGCCAGTGTCCCCCCCCCCCCCGTGGGGTTCGAGTGATAACCAAATGGCCTGGATAATCTAAAGTTTTTGAGACATTGGGGAGAGGGACGGGTATGGCATCAATGTCAAATTGCCTTCTTCGGAGGGGTTAGTCAAGCACTGATGCTGATGCTGCGTATGACTCAGACAAAGAAACTGTCACGGATAGAGGCTGCAGCGGACAGACTACCCAATTCAGAGAGAGCCCTCGTTCTTTGCAGAAGCCGGTCAGAACAGGGAATCTATTGGCAGTGACAATAGCAGCAGCGGCAGCAGCGTAGCAGTTGGGTGTTGTATGACTTTCGAAACTCGAGGCCCGTTGCCTTTTGACCGAGTAACGGTAGTGCTCAGGCTTGTGAGTAGCAAAGCTGACCAATGTACAGCGGTCATTGTTGGTGACCTTGCAGCAATGGGTCGGTAAGGTAATAGTGAGTGTGACTGTGTGAGAAGATTCGGGCCCGCCTCCAATGGTCCGGAAACGCAAAATTTGGTCGCTGCAGCTTGCACAAGCGTCGCCGATTTCGTCGCTCCACTACATCCCACTTTCGTCCCATCTCATCGCCTGGGTTTAATCCACCGCAACATGAACCACATTGAACATAGCATTTCCACCGCATTCTAGCCATAGGCTCACTCTCTCCTTCCACTCTTTGGACTGCCTGCACCTGTCATACCACCTTTCCTGTTTTCTTTATACCTTGCAGTGTGACGCATCTCATATAAGCCACTCAGTTTGAGGGTTGACGTCCCAGTCTACCCGTCGCCATTTTTTTCTTCTTTCTTTCCCTTCCCTATCCCGCATCTTTCCAATACAGTGCCCCCCGTTCTGGCCCGCATTGAGCAGACTCTCACTCATATCCCAACACCAACCGTTTTAGGCTCTGCGCGTAGCCATTGATACATCATGAGTAGTCAAACGATAGGAAACACTTCCAGCAATGGCTGGGTGGTGCAAAAATTCGGCGGAACCAGCGTTGGAAAGTTCCCAGACAAGGTTTGTCCCTCACCACTAAGAAAGTCACGGCTACGGCATGAGGCTGATCCAATATTCTCATACCACAGATTGCCACGGATATTGTCCGGTAGGAAGAGGCATTTCTCTAACAAAATTGTAACCCGACTAACCTGTTCTTCTATTAGAGCAAGCCTTTCGCACAACAAGGTCGTCGTTGTCTGCTCGGCAAGAAGCACGGGCAAGAAGATTGAGGGCACCACCAGCCGGTGAGTCAACGGGGAACGCACCCAGCCTCCATCCTCAACTAACCCCTCGCAAAAGACTGCTTGGCGTATTTAATAAGCTCAAGGGAATCGCAGCACCCACAACACCCGAAGAGGCACAAAATGAACTCATGAACGAGGCCAAGGGTCTAATTGAGGACATCTGCAAGGATCACGTATCGGCAGTCAAGACTTTCCTGCGCAACCCAGAATTACAGGCGTCCCTGGAACAAGAGATCAGCGATGAGTGCCAGGAGCTGGTCGAGTACATTGTGGCGGCAAGGAGATTTAACCTCGAGGTCAACTCAAGATCCAAGGACCGTTGCATCAGCTTCGGTGAGAAACTCAGCTGCAGGTTCATGGCCGCATTACTGAAGGACTTGGTGCGAGATCATGATTACTTTCCAGTATCTCGAACACGCCGCTAACCAGCTCGCAGGGTGTCGCGGCGGAATATGTGGACCTCAGTGACGCGTTCCACTATGATGCCACGGCTCATTTGAGCCAGGGCTTTTACCAAGAGGCCGCTGCAGTACTACGGAAAAAGATCACGGCTTGCGAAGAGCGAGTCCCCGTAGTCACTGGCTTCTTTGGCAACGTTCCCGGCAGCCTAATTGATGGTGACATTGGCCGAGGCTACACGGATCTCTGCGCGGCGCTATGCTCAGTCGGTCTGAAGGCGGATGAGCTTCAGGTGTGGAAGGAGGTCGACGGGATCTTCACAGCAGACCCGACAAAGGTTCCCACGGCACGCCTGCTGCACTCCATCACGCCGTCCGAAGCGGCGGAATTGACGTTCTACGGCTCCGAGGTTATCCACCACCTGACCATGGACCAGGTCATCCACGCTTCGCCCCCTATTCCCATTCGTATCAAGAACGTCAAGAACCCCCGAGGAGTCGGCACCATCGTTGTGCCCGACCCCGTTCTCACTGCCGGCCACCAGATCCAACGGTCATCCCCCGCAGACCCATCATTGATCCAGAAGCCGAAGCGGCCGACGGCGGTCACGATCAAGGACAAGATCTCCGTCATCAACGTGCACTCCAACAAGCGGTCCATTTCTCACGGCTTCTTCGCAAAGGTCTTCTCCATCCTCGACAGCAACCAGATCTCTGTCGATCTCATCTCTACCAGTGAAGTCCACGTGTCTATGGCCATCCACGCCGGAAACTCGGAGGGCGGCAGCTTCGACAAGGCGCGACTTGAGCTGGAGGAATGTGGCGACGTCAGCGTGCTCCATGACATGGCTATTCTCAGTCTGGTCGGTGCGGAGATGAAGAATATGATTGGTATCGCCGGTCGCATGTTCTCCACGCTCGGAGAGCACAACGTGAATTTGGAGATGATCTCACAGGGCAAGTCGTCTCGGGATCATGAGAGGGGCCGTTTGCTAACTTTGACATAGGTGCCAGCGAGATCAACATTTCCTGCGTCATTGACGCCCGTGATGCCACTCGTGCTATGAACATCCTGCACACAAATCTGTTCACCTTCCTTGACTAGAACGCCCGCTTCGAAATGCCCTGTGCGCTTCAACTGCGCGCGGTGGAAGAGAGCTCTAATTTTTGGGTTGAAGTATATAAGTATTACATTGTCAGGTTCATCCAAAACGGAGCATACATTTGCATTGTTGGATCAGAAAAGAAGAAAGAATGAAGATTATGGGCTGGAAAAGACATGATTCCCTTGATTTGCTTAGACGTACATATCAAATGCACATGATTAGGTCAACTTTGGTCTCGCGACTCGTCAATTTCAATGCGTCATGAGAGTACGCCAGAAACGAGGCCGGAAGCCATGAAATCGTGGACTTGAGGGCAAAGGGAGTACCTAACAATAGCCAATATTGCAATATCCAGCAAGTAAAATGGCGGACCAACGACCCCAGTAACCAAATGAATCTAAATATTTACCAGTCAAGGCCGACGTCGGCGAAGTGGGATACAGTGTTTAACTACTCGTCGCACACGGTTCTGCCCCGCCACTTCTCGAGCGTAGCCCTGTCATTTCTGATAAGATAAGCAGCACTGGAAGGATCCACATGGCAAGGCACATTGTTTCTTTGCGACTCTCTACTCCTGTCTACTTGACTGCATCTTGCCTCCAAATCCCATACGCGCGCCGCTTATCGACACTCGGCCCACAACATATTGATTCCTTCATCGTACCTCGAAATCTTCGCTCTTTAATATCCTCAGGACTGCCGACCGAAGAATACATTGACAACGATCGCCCAACATGCCAAAAGCAGAGGTCGGCTCGACGAAGCATCTGAGCAACAAGCTCAAGAGCAAAGGCCTCCAGCGTCTGCGCTGGTACTGCCAGGTCTGCGAGAAGCAGTGCCGGGACGAGAATGGCTTCAAGATGCACACGCAATCCGAGTCGCACGTGCGGCAGATGCTCGTCATCGGCGAGGACCCGAAGAAGTTCCTCAACGAGTACAGCAACCAGTTCCTCCGCGACTTCACCCAGCTGCTGCGCACTGGGCACGGGGAGAAGCAGGTGCAGATGAATCATTTCTATCAGGAGTACATCGCCAACAAGGAGCACGTACATATGAACGCGACAAAGTGGCCCAGCTTGACCGAGTTCGCGAAGCACCTGGGCCGCGAGGGCATCTGCCGCGTCGAGGAGAACGAGAAGGGGATTCATATCGCGTGGATCGACAACTCGCCAGACGCGCTCAAGAGGCAGGAGGCGTTGAGGAGGAAGGAGGCGCAGGACCGGGGCAATGAAGAGGTTGAGCAGATGATGATTCGAGAGCAAATCAAGAGGGCGCAGAAGGCGGCCGAGGCGAGGGGCGAGAAGCTGGACGACGAACAAGAGCGGGAGAGGGGGCTGCAGAGGACGGAGGGGGAGAAGGTGTCGTTGTCATTTGGCGCCAAACCTGCGGCAGCGAAGAAGGAGCCCAGCCCGACGGCGCAGTCCAAGTCCGCCGAACCCGAGGCATCGACGACAACGACCGTGGGACTTACAGAGGCATCGGAGAAAAAGGAGGATAAACCTGCCGAGAAGCCGTCAGTCAGCGGCGGTCTGTCGCTCAAAATGACGGCGAAACCCCAGACAAAGAACGTGTTTGCTCAGGCGAAGAAGAATGCCCTGGCAGGCGGCGCGAGGAAATCTGCGTTTGTGCAGCCGAAGAAGATGAGCGAAGCGGAAAGGATCATGAAGGAAGATATGGAGAGGCAGAAGGGGAAACGATCGAGGGACGGGTCCGGCTTCGGCGGGTTTGCGTTCAAGAAACAAAAGACGGATCAGCGGTGACTTATTTTACACTTTAGGTTGGGGATCGATTTCGTCTTCGTCCACGGGCGTTGGCTTTGAAGCAGGACAGCATCACATTGTCGCAAAAGGAGGTTCAACGAATTGCATAGCAAAACTTGGGTTGCACTTTTAGATACCATTTGAGAATTGATTGATTCATCTGAATAGAGTCTTCCCTGACTCCGTGCCGACCTTCTTTGACTCCCCGTAAACGCCGTGTACGTAAAAATATGGTTCGACAGCTCGTAGCTGACCTCAAGCGTCAACCTCCGTCTCCGTTCCGTCGCGCCTGTCATCTAGTTAGCCATAATACAACAACAACAACGGACATTCTGTGGCGTCCAGGTTCCCCCAACAGCAGAAAAGAAACATTAAAAGAAGCGCTACTGACGGAATGTAGTGTATCCTGTACTCCTCCTCGAGCGTGTTGCGAATCTCGTCGGGCAGCTGGCCCGAGACCTTGATCGCGTAGACGCCCCTCACGTAGTTATCCAGACGTTGCCACTTTGCCACCCAGGAGCGCTTCGGGTTCGAGAGGGTGATGAGGCCTTCGAAGACCTGGGACGTACAGCTCTCAATCTGGTCCTGGGAGCCGGCCATGTGGAGGAAGTCTTCGCAGTTGGGGCAACCTTCGTCGCGGAAGCGCTAGATTGGGGTACCGTTGTCAGCATCTATTTCCCTTTCTTTTCTTTTCCTTTTTTCCCCCCATAATGCTTCGATCCCGTTGGTTTGTTGCAAAGGAAAGGGCAAAACGTACGGAGTAGGTCATGACGATCGAGCAGACCATGCAGGCGCGGAGGTAGCGCTGCTGACCAGGCGCGACGAAGTTATCGGCTGACATTTCCAAGTGTGTTCTTCTTTGCGATTCGAGGTATATTCGTCGATATTCGGGAAGGCGTTTCGGGTGAAAACTGTGTCACAAGAAGACAGTCTAGAGTCGCTAGAGTTACGGAGTAGAGCTTCATCAATGGTGTTTCTGGGGAAGAGAGGCCGACCACCTTGAAGTTCCTCTGGTTGGAAGCCAATTGTGGGTCTTCTCAATGAAAGGCATGGGTTGTTTTCCATTGCCGGGCGGGTTGCAGGACCTTGAGCTGCATTGCATTTATGCATTATATGCCATTATCGATGCACATGGATAAGGTAGCGATTGATTTTGGCACAGACCCCTACGAGAGCTCCTTCGATACCGCCTCTTCTGCCGGATCACCAATATCTTTTCGATCTGGAGGAAATCAGAGCCCACCGCCCGTGTAACGAGAAACAAAAAGAGATTTCAATCATCTCAATCATCTGCTGGAGGAAACGCCGCCATGATGATGGAAAACTCATCAGCCAGCGAAGCACCAGCCAGCACCCCGCGCGCAACGGGCCACAAATCCCACGAGCCCCTCACATGCACTATCAAGACCCCAGCCTTCTCCTACGCTCACTTGGAACTCATCTCCGATTCACCAAGATCACAAGAAACATTGGAATTGGACAATCTCCAAGTACGCTCGTATTGTAGCGCCGCCCTCAGCCAGTTCCTGGGCGCAACGGGTTCCGCCATTCCCATCGACATACTAAAGGTCGAGGCCGCACAATGCTGGCTGCGCGTGCCCCGGCAGGACCTCAGCCCCTTTGCCGCGGCGATCACGGCGTGGGCCGGCGTCTCGGACCAAGGCAAACGGCAAGTTCTCCGGGTGAAGCAGTGCTCTGACTATTTGGGCGCCATCGTCGGCACCGATGGCCAGGAGAACCTTTGGTCGTCATGAGTCGACACCTTGGGAGAGCTGCTTAGAACGATAAATGACTTTTCTGTGGCTAAACACCCAACAATCGTATTATTCTAGATTCGGGGTATGGTGTACGTCTGCTGGGCAAGAACTCCGATTTATCCGCATGGCCAAACCCACGCTGCCACCCAGCCCCTTATATGCGCCGATCACATGCACCGTGTATGCTGCGGATGCAAACTATGCCTTCTCTTACCTCGGGACAACCGTCCGTATATCATCAAACTACATCAGAGAAGACATGAGAGAACTCTGGGCATACGCCTTGAAGTGGATGGTCAGCGGCAACTCGAGGAGAGGAAGAGAGGGTGTATCTCACCATAGGCTTGATATCCGGGTGAGGGACGGCGTCGAACTGCTTGAAGTCGAGCTTGTAGTCGGGGCCAATATTGATATACGCTCCCCTGTTCTCGGTGGAGTCGCAATACCTTGGTGCAGAGAACACTATAACACTCAGTTCCAGGTCCAGAATGATCAAAAAGAGCATTAAAACTTACCAGTAATGCAACGACCGTCGTGCTGCACCTCGTAGCCATCCATACGAACTTCGTGACTGCGAATGACGGCTTCGAGGCCATTGTTCTCGCAAAACCTCTTGGTGATGTCGGGGCCGAACTGCATACCAACACCGCGCTTACTTGGGCCACGGCCGGGCTCGTCCTGGGGGTCCGTCCACAACATTTCCATCATGAGACCGGCCTGGCCAGGCTGGCGCTGAGCGTGTCTGTCGAGCTTCCGGATGTCGTCCAAAGTCACCTTGTCGTCTGAGAACAGACCGCCGTGGAGCACGAGGTACTTGGTGCCGATCAGAGTTGCCAGGGGCAAAGCCGAGAAACTCTCAGAGAAGAGCTTGAAGATTCTCTCGTTGTACTTCGCCTTGCACTCGCCCTCGAAACCGTACACACGGTTCATGTCGTCGGTCTCGTGGTTGCCGCGGTTGAGGAAGAAAGCGTTAGGTCGGAGCCACTTGTATGCGTAGAGCAGAAGAGCGATTTCGCAAGACCATGATCCCCGGTCGACAAAGTCACCGTTGAACAGGTAGTAATGCTTGTCGTTGGGCGTTCCGTTGAGACGGAAAAGCTCCATGAGATCAAAGTATTGGCCTGGTTGTGAGTTAGTATTCGGGTACTGGGCGAGATGGACAGGACCATACCGTGTGTGTCACCGCAAACTGTGAGTTGTGTACCCTCAGGTATCTTCATCTCCACCATGGTTGGCTCGTCAAATACAAGCTTCTTGACGGCCAGGATAATTTGGTAGACATATTTCCTGTGGATCTTCTTGCCAGTCTTGAACCGCTCCGTCATGTCGTCGATGAACTCCTGTGTCATCTCCTCTCCTAATCTGACGCCATCATAGTCGTCCTCAACGCTGATGGTGCTAAGGTCGAGGCCTTCCGCAGCTGACGGCTCATCACCAACCTCGATGGCAGCGAAGAAGTCCAACTTGCGAACAATCTTCCTGCACTCGTCCAGCTTCAATTTGGCATCCTTATTGTTCGGGTCGAGTTGTATACATTTCTTGAAGTCGACGAGAGCATCCTTTGGTCTGATAATAGCGGTTTGGGCGAGGCCTCGGCGGAAGTATGCCTAAAGTCGCACCGAAGTCAGTGAGGAAGGCTCGTTGGCTGTGTCCGGAGTCGCCCACCTTTACGAAGTTGGGGTTAAGCTCGATTGCCTTCGAGCAATCAGCAATAGCATAACCGTATGCTTCAGACTTGATGTTTGCCTACTCCGATTCAAGATAATGTTAGTCACGCGAGCAACCTGACTTTGCAGCCTTGGCGCAGCGAGGATAGGCGGCGAACCTGAGCGCGGTTGGTGAAGAACGTTGGCTCTTTGCCGTTTAACTCAATGGCCTTAGTGTAGAGCTCGATAGCAGCAGGCCAATCGTGAGAAGCGAAGGCCTTGTTGCCGTCATTCTTGAAGGCTGTCGCCTTTTCCTCAGGCGTAGACATGGCGGCAGCAACGGCGGAATATACTGCAAGAACCAAAGTGTGGGGTATCTGTATCACAGGTAGAGACCAAAGACGATGGAGGGGTATTTCCCTGCTGTCGTTCGCACACGAGACAGCGGGAACAAATTGTCTTTTCCGTAGGCGCGGGACTTCAGTGCGAAGTGCGATTTCCCAAATGAAATCGTAAATTTGGGGGCGGGAAAGAAGAGGTGGTTGCAGCAAAATTTCTTATGCAGCAGAAGCTCTTCGAAGGTTGAAGTTGCCGGGCCTGGGTCGGAATCGAAAGCTTCCTTTCGCGACGGTTCGGCCCTTAAACCCTCTTCAGTACAGAGTATTCGGAGCTAACAGGAAACAGTGCGCTGCTACCGCACGGTGCGATATGTTGCAGCGGGGTGGCACTGAGTTGCCACTTCAGGAGTCTGACAGGGGCGCTGAAAGGCCGGCGCTGTGGTAGGCCCCTCCCTCCACTCCCGCGAGGATTGAGCTCCCTCCCACTACGGATGCCTACCTGGCATGCCTGGGTATGTAGATACCTTACCTTAGGTACTCAACGGAGTACGGATACGGACGACTTACACCTCCGGGCATGCTATTGGTAGCGCGAGGCCCCGTGGACGGGACTGACGGGGCTTCTGAATCTAGCATCGTTAGTTGCATATATACAACACTTGCTTATCTCTTATCAGAACAGCCCCACGTCACTCCGACCCGAAGTTGAGTGCAACTCGGCAGATTGGCCTCAGCAAACCGATCTGACATCAATATCTCAACGCGACATCTACCCCATGGCGCTGACGGCGCATTTCTCGTGCCTCTACACCCCTCCCAACACAGACTCTTCAAATTTCCTGTCCTCAATTGTTCGACGATGGAGTCTCAACAACACACATCAACCGCGCTTGTGCGCAAGCGGACCGATCTCGAACTGATGCCACCACCGCCCGCTGCGAAGAAGATAAAGCGCCCGAAAAAGGTCATAGACGAAGAAACCTATACCGACGCCCTCTCGCAGATCATTGCACGAGACTTCTTTCCCGGGCTTTTAGAGGCAGAGACCCAGCAAGAGTACCTCGATGCTCTCGAATCAAATGACAAAGCATGGATTTCCAACGCTGGCCAGAGGCTGGAGCGTGTGATGACGCCGGGAAGGAATAGGGTAAAAAGACCGGCGCCTTTCAACAATGGTGGACGCACGCCATCTGCATACGGTGCGGACACGCCGGCATCTGTGGCATCAACGGTACCCGAGGCACCAAAGCCGGTCGTGGACACGAATATGAGCCTGGCCAACTTCCAAGCTACTTACACCAGCGAGGACAACGAGAGTTTTTACAAGCTCATGGATAAACAAAACCAGAAGAAGGCAGAGAAATACGAGTGGATCTGGCGAGGGAACAAACTGCCTTCCAAACAGATGATCAAACAGGCGGAAGTCGAAGCAAAACTACTGATGACAAGGAGTTTGGTTGATGACGGGTGGAGGAGGGACAGACTGGCCATCAAGGATGTGGACGACAGACCAGCCAGACCAGACAGCTGGAACGCTAACCCCAAGAACAACTTAATATTCGGCCCAGACGGTGTGGATGACCACTACGAAAGCCCGGCGCAGAAGGCTCAGGCTCAGTCGCTGATGCCGCCTAAATCGATCAACTATGCGAACACAAGGATACCGCAACCGACAATCGCCGAGAGGCCTCCATCCCCAACGCTCTCCGCTGTGAGAGACGCGATTGCTGGGAAACCCCGCAAAGAAGATCAGGCTTCAAGCGCTCTTGGGGGCGGAGAGACACCGAGAGTGAATGGTTACGCCTTCGTGGATGACGAAGAGGATGAGGACCAAGTTCTACCCGCGCCCGTTATCGACCTCGGCCCTGGCGACGCTACGCCGAATCCATTCAAGCTGCAAGAGCACAGAAAGCGAGAGTCGTTGCATCACCGTCTAGTGGAGCGGGCAGCGCAATCCAAGAGGGAATCCGTGAAGAACGGCTTGACTGGAAAGCCGGACAGAACACCGGTGCCCAAGTTCCCGTCTAGCCCGCGTGTTTCGGGCGGCTTGACGCCTGCCGCTCAAAGGTTATGGGGCAAGATTGGCAGTCCAAGGCCAGGTAGCCCGCACAATTCTTCTGTAAAGGCTACACCCATGAGGGCAAGAGGCTCGCTTTTGAAGGGCGGTGCCTCGGTAAAAAGGGACTAAACACCAAATATGACCTAAACGAATAATGATAATAGACGAGGAAACAGGGATAGACCAAAGATACCACAACAGGATAGTTACAAAACGGCATTAAAAGATGTGAAGATTGCATATCACTATGAAGACCTGGGCAAACATCCACGTTGAAAGAAAGATCGTATTTTTTTGTCGACATATCAAACGGCTTTGCCTCAAGTTGAATTTCATCGTGGACGGCCTGGTAGAAATGATCGGGATATAATCCCGTTATGCACATGAAACTTTTATATGCATATATCCTTGGCTCAATTTTCCCTCCATTACGAAGTCTATTTAATAATCCCTGCACTACCTCCAAGGCGTGAGATCACCCAGACGTCAAAAGGCAATGACAACGATATGCGTCTAGCATAAATCAAAAGTCTGTTGCTCCAATGAGGTTCGCCGATTTTGCTGTCGATTTGGCAGCGGTGCTCGGCGCTTCGCGCTCTGTCGCATCCAGACATGTCGCACTGAGAGGCCGACAGCTCGAGAGCTTCACCAAAGCTTCCAGCTTAACACGCAAATCCCCAACGGCGCCTCAGCACGCACGAGACAGTGATGCAACGGAACCGTCAGTTGCTCCCGATGCCCCAGGAGCCCGGAAATCGGCTGAGAAGGAGATGATGTCGTCGGAAAAGGCGTTAACATCCCAAACCAATCACCCCTCACTCACACCATCAAGCAACTTCCAGCCCAAGCTCAGTAATGCGTCCGGTATTTCACCAAACTCAGGGTCAGTCCTCTCTCAATTGAGGCAATCCAATCCTTCGGCTTTCCCTTTTCAAGGCGCATCACCATTGGATCAAAGGCCCAAGGATGACACAGTCCCTGTAGGGTCATCAGTGAGCATGCCGACTGCTCAGTACGGCGCCCCTGTCTCTGAAGAGGCTGACGACCTCCCCCAAGGTGTCAATGTGAACATCTTCCACAGCACCCGTGCCGCCAAACTATTGGGTAAGGAGGAAGAACAATCAAAGGTCAACTTTGGAAATCGGAAGAAGCTTCCACCAACTAAGCTCCCCGAGTTTATCGACTTCTCCAAGTTGTCCAAGGATTCTGAGGTGAAGACATCAACCTCACATGCGAGTGCTCCAAGCACCTCTCAGGGCGCTTCCCAGCCTGATGTAATTACAAATGATGCGGAAGGAATCCAGGTCTCACCGGCTGCTCCAGAGTCTGTTCCCGCCGCTTCCACCGACCCGCTATCAAAAGATGAACCCACCGTCGAAGCTGTCTTGGGCGCTGCTGTCGACCAGGCATCAACCCCAGCTTACTCCCTTAGAGAATCTAGTGTGCCCGCCACGCGCCTGAGCAGACTTTGGAACTACGGCGGCCTAGCAGCAGGAATGATGGGTGGTGCCATTACAGAGAGTATCGGCAGAGCATTTGGCGGCGGTGGGGAGGGCTCGGTATTGCTCAGTGCCGGCAACATGGAAAGGCTTGTGGCCAAACTATCCAGAATGCGTGGCGCCGCCCTGAAGATGGGTCAGATGATGAGTTTTCAGGACACAAAGATGCTCCCGGGACCGATTCAGGAGGTCCTACAGAGAGTGCAGGACCGTGCCGACTACATGCCGGCCTGGCAGAGAGACAAAGTCCTCAAGGCCAACTTGGGCGCGGAATGGCGTGAGCTGTTTGAAGACTTTGAAGAGAAGCCCATCGCTGCCGCGTCCATCGGACAGGTCCACCGGGCCACTTTGAAGGAGGGCGGTCGCAAGGTCGCAGTCAAAATTCAGTTTCCTGGCGTCGCAGACTCGATCAACTCCGACCTCGACAACCTCGGCATTCTCTTGACCGCTACCAAGCTCCTGCCGAAGGGCCTGTATCTGAACAAAACCATTGACAACGCGCGGCTGGAGCTGGGATGGGAATGCGATTACGAGAGAGAAGCGCAGTGCCTGATCCGTTACAAGGAGCTCCTAGCTGACGAACCGAACATTTTCCTTGTGCCAGACGTTCATCTGCAAGCCTGTGGAAAGAACGTCTTGACCATGGACTGGATGGAGGGTGTGGGCGTCACCAGAGTCAAGTCGTTTACCCAGGAGCAGAAGGACTGGATTGGCACCCAGATTCTCCGTCTCTGTCTCAGGGAGATCACAGAGTTCAAGTTCATGCAGACCGACCCCAACTGGACAAACTTCCTCTACAACGTCAAGACCAACAAGCTCGAGCTTCTCGACTTTGGTGCTTCCCGGGAGTACCCCGACGATTTTGTCACACAATACGTTCAGCTCCTCGCTGCGGCCTCAAGGACCGATCGGGAGGGAGTCAAGCGCTTGTCCGAGAGTCTTGGATACCTCACCGGCCATGAGAGCAAGCTCATGGTGGATGCGCACGTCAAATCGGTGCTCACCCTTGCGGAGCCTTTCCTCGGCTCGGCCCCCGAGGTTTACGATTTCCACGACCAGACCATCACAGAGCGTGTGAAGGCCCTGATCCCCGTCATGCTCCGCGAGAGACTTGCGCCGCCACCTGAGGAGACCTACAGCTTGCATCGCAAGCTGAGTGGTGCGTTCTTGCTTTGCGCGAAGCTCGGCAGCAAGGTCAGATGCCGCAACATGTTTGAGGAGAGTCTGAAGAAGAACGGCTACACTGCTTAGGAGAAACAGACAACGGGTTATCCCCAATCCACTTTGTATCATTTTGTATCATAGCTGTACAACCAATGTGTAGACATACCACACAGGGAGGATTATAGACGAAAATAAAGACCTTCCATAATGCATCCAAAGTTTCATGGCTCGAACTGAAGCATGCTGATAACGTCTCCTTACTCCCTCGGTCTCCTCTGCATCTTGTCGAGCTCCTTCCGTTCCCTTCCAACAACCTTCTTCCTCTTCCGCTCAATCGTGCGGTCGACCTGCTTCTTCTTCATGCCAGCGAACTGGTCCATCAGGAACCTCTTCTTCTGCTCCGACTTCTTGAGGTAGAACGGTTGCTTGCCCTCCTTGACGAGCTCCTTCTCCTTGCGCTTGTGCTCCTGGATGACGTCGTCCGCCCGCTGCTTGCGCTCCCGCGCCTTCATCTTGCTCTCCATCGACAGCAGCATCCTCCTCATCTCCTCCTTCTTGCCTGCGTCTTTAGTCTTCTTGATCTCGGCCCGCAGCTGCTTCATCTCATCCTTGCGGTACTCGTCAAGGAAGGCGTACGCCCTCCGGGCCTTGGACTCGTCGACGGGTCCGCTCATCGGATCGAAGCGCGGGTCGCGCACCTCCATCTTGGGCACGGCGATGATCTCGCGACGGCGGGAGACGGGCTTCTTGCTCGATTGCTCCATTGGGGCGTGCTTGCTCGAGCGCTTGACGTGGTCGGCGCCGTATTTGAGCTTTCTGCCGACTTCCTCCGGGCCTGAATCCGAGCCCTCTTCTTCTGAGGGCGATGCGCCGCGCTTGCGACGTTTGGCTGCGGGCATAGAGGCTTGGGCTTTTGCGAGGGCGCCAAAAGACACTGATGAGATGTCGATGTTGGTCTTCTTTGGTGGTGGTGAGGCATCGGACTTTGGATTATTAGTAATGAGTACGGTGGTTCTGCTACTTGTATTACATACCCCTTCGTCTTCATCATCCTCGTCAATCTCATCTTCGTCCACATCTTCCTCACTCAACTCATCTCCGTCCATTCCCGCCTCCTCAGGTTCACTGCTGGCCTGCTCGTCGATCTCGGGCTCCGCTTCTCTGCGAGGCTTCACGCGGCGCTGAAGGCCCGAAAATCCTTGCTTTCTCTTTCCAGATAACATTTTGTCTCCTTTTCAGATTGGATTTGTAAAGTTGAAAGGTTCGATGTATGATTTGGTCGGAATTTGCAGGGTTAGAACTCACATGTATGAGGCTCACCCACACCTCAAAGGAACTTTTCAGTGGGCCTGAAAGAACAACGACCAACGGCTATCCTGTACCTTATCGATAAAGAACAACGGTAATTTATCGATAAGACCAGCCTCGCAAACTTCCTGCCTGCCAAAGCGAAGAACGAATTCCCCTCCACTAATCGCAAAGACACAAAGATCCTGAACAAACCAACCTGTGAGCAACATCTTCGAGCTACGCCGACTCGCTACGAAAACAATTAGATTCAATTGTCCCCAAGACCGGTTCAATTGACTTCGCGTATTAATCCACATCTGGACCCATACATCCATGCAATCCTCTCTTCCCCGGATCTTCGCCAGATCGCAACAGATCCGCCAACGCTGCTTCTTTAAAACCGCCGCGCGCCAGCGTCCAGGTCGCTCACCCCGCGGCTCCACTCGAACACACGAACACGCCGACAGTGAGAAAGAGCCTTCCCTTGGCTTGCGCAACTCTCTCTTTCGCAATTCGAATTCGATCTACGGCCACAAGGCAGACATGTCCAACCTACAATGGTGGACCAAGCCGGCCCCGATCATGTCCGCCCCGTCGAACCAGCAGCCGAGCGGCAACGGCTTCAAGATACCGGGCCTTGGCAACGCCGCCAATATTCCCTTCGCCTCAACCTCCGCGGTTCCTCTGCCCAGGCAATCAGCCGCCGGAAACCAGTCTACCATGCCAAAGGGACCTCGCGGGGCGTTAGTCTTCCACTCCTCGCCCCTTCACTTTACCGTCACTCTCTCCGCGATTGCTGCGAGAAACTAACACCCCTCTCATAGAGCCGCGGCGCCGCACAACCGTGACAAGATCATACCCCCAAGCGCCGCGTCAGGCGGCGTCCCAGAACCCACGCCCCAATACCTTCAGCGCGCATCCCTCCCGCCGACCCTCCTCTCTACGCCTCGGCCGATCCTCATCGTCATGGACCTCAACGGCACCCTCCTCTACCGGCCCAACCGTCGTAACGCCACCACCTTTGTCGAACGGCCCCACGCGAAGCGCTTCCTGCAATACTGCCTCGACACCTTCCACGTCGTCGTGTGGTCCTCGGCCCAGCCAAAGAACGTCCAGTCCATGTGCGACCAACTTCTCCTCAAGGGCGGGCCGGGCGCCGCCAACGCTCAGGAGGACAGCGCCTCGTACCGCCGCCGCGTCCTGGCCGTCTGGGGCCGCGACAAGTTCGGCTTGTCCGACGCCGACTTCAAGCTCCGCGTGCAGGTCTACAAGCGCCTGGAGATGGTCTGGGCCCAGGCGAACGTGCAGGCGGCGCACCCGGACGCCGCGTACGGCGGCCGGTGGGACCAGACCAACACTGTTCTCGTGGACGACTCGCTCGAGAAGGCGCGGAGCGAGCCGTACAACCTGCTACGGATTCCCGAGTTCTTTGGAGACGCCAGCGAGCCGGGCTGCGTGGTGCCGCAGGTCCACGATTACCTCAACCAGCTCTGTAATCAGTCGGATATCAGCGCTTACATGCGTACGAATCCGTTCAAGCTGAACGACGATTACCGGCTGGGGCAACACGAAAATGTGCCAGGGCCGGCGTAGAAGACTTGACGGAGTGATGGTCTTGAGGATTGCCTAGACAGTTGTCAGGTTGGATAGGCACGGGACATGGAAATATACTTGGTAGCATCGAGATACCCCTTAGCATGAGCTTATGGAAGCACCCTAATTAAACCCGTTCAATTTGAAGATGGAGCGTTTCAATGAAATTGAAAAGTGTTCTTTTGATTTGATCAGGAACAGCCGGCATCTTCTGCCTCGTCCTAGTGACTTCGACCTAATACCTTGGCACACAGGCCTCTGACATTACGCACAAGATGTTCCTCTTCGGGTCCATAACATCATCTACACACCTCCTTGCCTAATCGTTAACTCATTTCATCTCTGCCATAAGCCATGAATTTTGGATCACTCCACAGAGCGATGCGCTTATTTGAAGACCTTGCCATCGGCAACGGCGTACTCCTTGCCGTTGTGGGTGATGGGCTTCTCCCAGCCCCAGGAGTCGGAGACGAACTGCTTGGTCTCGGGAGCGGAAGCGTCGAGCTTCTCGAAGTCGTAGCTCTCGTAGTCGGGAGCAACGTCGAAAGCGGGCTTGTAGTCCTGGCCGCGGATGACGAAGGCACCCTCAATGACGGAGTCGTTGTTGGTGCCGTAGACGGCAGCGCATCCGAAGATGAACTTGCGGGAAGCCTCAAGACGGTTGTTGAAGCCGCCAATGAGGTTGTTGGACATGAAGGTCATGGTGAGCTCGTCGTTGTACTTGTACTTGACCTTCCAGAGGGAGAACTCCTCGAGGTTGACGTTGTCCCAGAACCACTTCATTGCCTCGTCGTGGTTCTTGATGTTGGAGTACTGACGCTTCCACTCCTCGAGGTCGAAGGTGGCACGGGGGAGCTCAGCGAGGGGGTGCTTGGGCTTAGGGGCAGCAGGGGCCTCCTCAGCGGCGGGGGCGGGGGCAGCCTTGGGGGCAGCCTCCTTCTTGGGCTGCTCGGGCTTCTTGGGAGCGACGTTGGTCAGCTTGGGGGTCTCGAGGAACTCCTGCTTCTCGGTGACGGCGGTCCAAATGTCCTGGTTGATGATGGTCTGGTACCAACGGGTGACGTTGGGGTTCTCCTCGCGCCACTTCTTGTCAAAGAAGAACTCGAAGCCACGGGCAATGATGCCGGCGGCGAAGAGGTCAGCGAGGGTGATGCGCTCGCCAACGAGGTAGGTGTTGCTGAGAAGGTGCTCCTCAATGACGTTGACGGCCTTGAGCGCGACCTTGGAGGAGTCCTCAACGGACTTCTTGTTATAGGGGTCCTTGCCAAGGAGAGGGCGGTACCAGGCGCCGAAGGGGGGAAGGACCTCGGAGTTCACGAAGGACAACCACTTGAGAATGGAAGCGTAGCTGAAAGAATTTTTGTTAGCCTATGCTTCTGAGCTCGGTAAAAGACGCTTCCGATGCGCTTACTCCTGCTTAGTCTTGCCGAGAAGGGTGGTCTTCTCGTTCTGGGAGGTGACTGTGGGATCTCGTCAGCTATCATTCCCCATGATATTTTTCAATCAAGGTAAACGGTGTCGATGGTAGGATCAGAAATTTAGACTATATCAACAAGAAAATTCAGACAGGGATAACTGTATTTGATAAAGCTTGATCATCATATTGAGAATCATGGGTTGTTACTTTGTGTATGCGAGCTTTCGGAAAGCGACGTCGGCAAAGGGTGACTCAGAACGTACTGTAGATGGCAATGGCAATGGCCTCGGAGAGAGCGTAGCCATCCTCGCCAAGGAATGCGGGGACCTTGCCGAGCTTGCTGGCCTTGAGGTGCTCAATGGAGGGCTTGGTAGTGTCAGCCTCGATGAACTCGAGGTCAACGTTGTTGGCCTTCGCGACGGCGCGGATGGCCGTGGTGCGGGGGTTAGCCTGGAGGGGGTTGACGACCTTCGTTAGCTACAAAATTCCTAGAGAAATGGAAGTTCAAAGGTAATTGTTATTGCGTTTCTTACCGGGTAGGTGAAGAGCTTTCCGAACGCCATCTTGAATCAGTTGTATGACCGAGAGGGATAGGAGGGTATCAAAGGGTGCGTGATATGATGGACAAGAGAGGAGAGAGAAAAGTTCAGGTTCCCCGCCAGGATGACAGTAATTTTTTTGAATGAAATTTCGACCGCAGTGCCCCGCCACCCGAAAGCCCCTCGCTCGACCGACGGCAGCTCGAACGCCAGGGCAACCAGCTGCGGTGAGGGGTAACATGCGGCAGAGGAGGATCCAAGCGCCTGTGGCGGTGTACGCCGCATCACGTGAGCGAGATATTTCCCGATGTTCAGCCGGAGCCCAGCTACGAAGCTAGGAAAGATTTCTGTTGTCTACTGGCATACAAGGCTGTATCCAGTTCACGATATCTCGACAGCCACCGCATCAACGAGGGTGTTGATCGAGGTCCCACAACAATGTCCAGCTTACGCCATGGTCTGCAGCAGACTCTCTGCTTGCGCCAACTGGCAAAGGGCCAGTTAATGAAGCCTCAATGGCAACGGTTGAGCCTGCAGTCCAGCTTTTCGAGCATTTCGACCACGAGCCATCCTGAAGCTCAACAGAACGAACCCGAAGTCGACACGAACCTGACGTTGCCTCCCCAAAGTCCCTTCTTTGGCATTGATAAGGCCCGCCCGCTCCCCGTCTCGCCGTCCTACTTCTCCAGAGAACCTCGCTTCAACGACGCCTACATCCGACTATCTACTCTTGTGCAGAGATACCAGCACCTTCCTCTGGCGCCCCCGGAACTGGTCTCGCGACAAATATGGAGGAATTTGAAGGGCTACCGACAGATTACCGGAGAACCAGTCAAGGCGATGCCGTTCAGCCAGGTTCTGAGCATGGTCAAGCGGTTGCATCAGATCCACCCTGGGCTGATGCCCAGCGAAGTCAAGGAAGCCCTACAAGAATTTAAACGCGACATCGACCCGTACAAGAACACTGCCAGGGTCGTGCCTCTCGACAGATTTGGACGCGCTCTGGGTGTCGGCCGCAGGAAGACTTCGAGCGCCCGCGCTTGGGTTGTGGAGGGTACTGGAGAGATGCTGGTCAACGGTAAACCCCTGAACGAGGCATTCGGCAGGATTCACGACCGTGAGAGCGTCATCTGGGCGCTCCGAAGCACCGGAAGAACAGACAAATACAATGTATGGGCACTTGTCGAAGGCGGTGGAGTGACTGGACAGGCCGAGGCTCTCACATTGGCGATTGCCAAGGCCGTCATGGTCCACGAGCCAGCTCTGAAGCCAATACTAAGAAAGGGTAAGTCGAGTCCCAATTTGAAGAAGACTGTCGACCTAGTGCTGATATGTATGACTCTACAGCTGGCTGCATTACGCGTGACCCGAGACAAGTTGAAAGAAAGAAGCATGGCCATGTCAAGGCCAGAAAGATGCCCGCCTGGGTCAAGAGATAGAGGGCTCCTTCTCTGTGTGGCGTTGATGATGACATCGCCAGGCGCCCTTCCTTTTTCATGTTGTACCACCACCCCTGTGTATTCATAGAACAGAGGCAGCTCTTATAATGCCAGCCTATGATGTATACTTGCCTAATGTTGCAAATCGGCGGGCGAGGTTGCGCATCAAGTTGAATTACTTGGTAGTATGTGAACCCAAGCTACGCAGAGGATATGGCCAGGCCACGACAAGCTCCGATCTGCCAGTCGGCACAGGTTGCGGTTACTTATGAGGACTGGCGCATCTCCAAAGGGTTAGAGCTTTGCACATGTCTGCCACTAGCATTGCCAGCTGGAAAGCGACTTGGGTCGATTTAGCCTCGGCGCTCTTGCTCTCACGGCTTAGTACCTGGTCCATGCAGTTCGCAGAGAAGCAACGTGGTGAGTCCGATTCCTGGTGTCCTTATCCTAACTATAACCGAGAAGTACAACACCATGGATCATGTAACAATCCATAATTGGGGACCCTTGGCAACCAGTTCGATCGTGAAATGGTGACTGATTGCCAAAATTTGAAACATAGCGTTGCAAAATCTATGACTGAAAGTCGGAAGCGCGAATCTTGATCACCCTCGTGTCTATTCTGCCATTATCGACCGCAGCGGTAGCATCGCCGCAGCATAGATAACTGCTGGCTGATACGGTTCATTTGACTAGTGCGTGCAATGGCCACTTGCAACGTTTGTATGTATTTACCTTACGGAGTGGCCGTGAAATACTTTTCGGCGCGCATTGAAACCGGGTCTTTGGGTGAATGAAGGTAAACCCCGTGTGTCATTAAGAGGCCAGGATCACAGGCCACAAGCTGGCACCTGTGGGCGGATTGACGATGTGGACGATATTAGAAGGGTCCGTGAGCAAGCCAGTCGACATCTCTGGCGTTGAGGCTAGTGCGAGCGCCCCTATTGCCAGCGTTGCAGAAGTGCGTCCGCCGAGGGCCTTGTTTCAATCTCCCACACAAGGTAACCCCTAAAAGGAGACGACAGCGAGGGCACAGACGCTTGAGCCCGTCCTGTCCTCCGAAGGTTTCTAGAAGCATGGAACGAATTAATCGAAGGTTCGTGGAGCTGGTTTCACCCCTTGTGACCATTTTCGATGATGGCTTTGCACTTCCGGTAATGTTTTAATCGGGGGGTGAAGCTGCTAGAGATGGTGGAAAGCACGACTCGGCTGGTTTCGCCGCATCAGGCAAGGCGTCAGCCGAAATGAGCAAGTTGTTGCCATTGCCGTATATGTTTTGGACAAGAACGAGGGTTAGTATGAGGCGTAGAAGCCGATACAAGGAGGGGGCGACAAAGACTTGGAACCAGCCGAATGACGGGCGAGGTACAATAACGGTAGCGGCAGAGGCGGTGATGGCAGCTTGAGACGGCGAGATGGGGTGGTGGTTTGTGGTTTTGGAGCGAGAGAGACAAGATCGGAACAATGCTAGGCGATGCGATAACGAGGCTATTGAGCTCGAGCTGCACGCGTCTGTTCCTGGCACCCTCCGGCGTTACATTCTTCTTCTGAGGCCATGTGCTTGAGTGGATGAGAGATCGGACTGAGGATGGAGCAGGATCTCTTTGCGGGCTGACTTTCTTTTGGCGACTGAGCATCTTATGGCGACCTCCGGGGATCAACCAGGCGTCGGTTGAGATGATCGACGGTAATCGCCTTGTGTGAGGCTGAGATCGCCCCAAGAACGTCCAACGGCTGCGTGACGGGCTAGACCATGCCGAGGGGAAGTGTTGGAGGGGGAGGGGGGGAGTCCACGCACACACTCCACGCCACACCACATTCGAAGTGGCTAGCACCTTTCAAGCATGCTTCAGGGTGTATGTGTGATACGAAAGAAACGTGGCTCTACTAGAGCAAAGACGGCGATTGGGTGCCCCTAGTTTAACCGTTGGCGGTCAGTTTCCGTGGCGCGACGCCCATCTCCGCTGGTTCGGGTCTTGACCTTTCTTGTTAGCAACTCGCAGGTCAGGGTTGGAAAGACCGACGGTACTCGGCAAGCCTCGGGCGACGAGTCGGGGATTTGGAGGGACGACGCCGGCTGAACAGCAAGTGACGGTGCTGTCTCGAAACCATATGCTATGTCGTCTTAGGTAAGGCGCCGAGAAGGTCAATGGACCCTCCCCACGTCACCTAACCTCACGGCGAGGTCGTAAACGCAGAGGGCATAAGCGCGGCTCAGGACATTTTTTTTTAGCGCGCTTTGCACAGGCTTTGCCTGCCCAGCGCCGTGCCATGGTGCCTTGCATCCGGAGTTTAAGGTGCTGAAGTATCCATAAGGTAGCCATAAGCCGTGCCTTGAGTCTCGAGATACCTTTGGATGCAGGACGAAGGCCCCCGTTGAGCTAGGTGGGTTGGGAATGCAATCAACCCGACTGGAAGAGGACGAAGGAGTGGACGGGGGCGTCCCGGTGCAGCAAGTCCGGTTGGGCAATTGGGTTCGTGCTGCCCAAGGCGTGTGGGCAAGCGCGTGATTGGCACTCAACACTGTAACCACACGTGCTTTATCCGATTCAAGGTTTGCCGTCTTGGCCTTGGTTCTTGCGTCTGTAGTGACAGTAGGGCAGACACCGAGTAAGGTCGGGACGGAGGCACGATGTAGATGGTATGGAATTATGGAAGGGCCGGCGTATGAAGGTGTTGGTGTATATTCCGGTGTTGTGTGGTGTGGTGTGGTGTGGTAGGTATGGTGGGGTGGGGTGGGGTGGGGTGGAGCAGCGAGCAGGTAGGTAGCTCGGTGGGCGGCAAACTGTGTGGACAGTGGGGAGCAATGGCGTTCGGATGTCATGAGTATGACTCCAGAGTCCAGCCGAGTCCGACGACGATGAGGGAAAATTAATCGTGTTGGAGAAACTCCGCCCCAGTCCCACCGTGGCACATAGAAATTAGAATGCATTAGCCGAACGCAGCGTTTGACTTTGGAGAAGAGCAGGAAAACCATGGGCCGCTGGACCTATCGGGCGCCCGAGGGTTTGAACTAAAGGTGCTCCGTACCTCCCTTACCTAGGTAGGTGTGCATCGTGCACTCGGCCCGGGTATCTTGCTCGTCTCCTTCCATCTCCAACCCCAGCGTACCTCGCCCGGGGAAGCAACGAAGAGGTCAAGGGCAAGTGCGATGGAATTTGGCATCAAGTACTCTTGTAAGTGTTGCCGTGATAAGGTACACTAAGGTAATTCCTATCAACGTCCTTAAGGTACTGCCTTGCCAAAGTGGTGCGAGATAATGGAAGGTGAGCTGCGATGTTCTCTCCCGAAATAACTTCCTCTCTCCTGCCTCAGCTAAGGTAGGTAGTAAGGTACCTTATTTTGAGGCCGGCCAGGTGTCGGCAGTAACGCACTTGAGGTATGTAAGGTACGTCTCTACAACGAGACATTATCCCCATGGCAAAGAAGTCCTTCAGCCACAGACAACCTAAGATGACCGCCATTTGCAAATCAATTTCCATACCTAGCTGTGTACAGGTACGATACTGCGGATATAAGCGACATTGAACACTCGGACGTCTTCTCTCACATCTCATTACGCTGGATCAGAGCCGTCGTGATGAAATCTCGTCGAAATGTGGACCCAGACCCCCGAAATGCAGGCTCACGCACGGCATTCGCAATGGGAGCATATCCGCAGCGGAACCGCAATGTTTGAACCGGAGATGTGAGGCCCACCACATCGCAGCATCTCACAGCGTCTGTGAGCTGGAGACCACGACTTCGTTCCCCTGCGTCTTGACGCCGCGGAAGCAACGCGAATATGTCCGGGTCAACCTACGTCGGAACCGCGCCCGCTCGACACTCACCTCACCCGCACTCGGGTGCACATTGGGCTGCGACTAGGTAAAAAGCATGCTTCGAGGTAATACGGATGAGGATACGTCCACCATACCCAGGCCCTACAACGACCCCATGAACAATACAACTGCAGACACATCATGCCTCGCCGAGGGGAGGGAGGCACAGAACCTTACCGGGAAGAACTCGGTGGTAAGGCAAGGTCAGGTCGCTTTTTTGTCCAGGGAGCGTTCCGACTAATGCAATCTCAAATGACAGAGGACACTCCGAATGCAGGTGCTCATCACCTCCTACGTCTCTTCGTTTGCCGATGGCCAAGTTCCAAGCGAGGCTTGTTGGAATTCGCTCCTGTCCCTGAAGCAAGCACTCGAGAAGCTTTCACACCACTTCTCCAAAGCTGAGTTCCACACAATCCCAACCGAAGTCGTCGTCCAGCCATATGCTGCATCGATGCTGCCAGGCGAACCCCACCTTCTCGACCTCTGCAGCCTTCGCAATAGAGCAGTGGGAGCCATTCACAGGCCTGCTCATCCATGTGTGAAATGTTGCATTCAGGCACGATCCCTGAATCGCTAGGGCTCCTCCTCAAAAGGGCCCCGAGGAAGAGGGGAGGGGAGGGGACCAAAGGGGGGGGGATACTTTCAACCCTGCAGCAGGAGCAGCCATTTTCACAATGTACAGATACATTGCCGCGTTCCGTACACTCCGGACCACTCAAGCAAGGCACCGGCACTCGTTCAGGAACCCACCGAGCCCAGGGTTGCAACCCCGGTTGCTTGACTGGGGTCTTACAACGACCTCTTCGACCTCACTTGCTCCCCGCCTAGTCCTTTCTGGCCCTCACTCACATACCCCTTGACAGATTCGACATTTATGCAAGGTTCATGGTTCTTATCTTTCACCAAGGCCAACGCCTGTTCACTTTGCGATCAATAAGGTACCTCTACCTCTACCAACAATTCGAATCTCTCCGTCTCTCTTACTGCTTCTCAGCAGAGAGCCGCCATTAACGTATCATTTGCACAGATATGCACATCCTTCACGTACTCGAAGGCTTTTCTGCATAATACTCTTCTCGAATGAAAGTGTCAAAGTACGTGCCGCTTTTCCTTCCATCCTTTGAAAGAATACTCGGACGCAATCAAGGAAGCAGTCCTCTGCCGCCAAAAAAAAAAAAAAAAAGTGAGGCTTCAACCACGGCACTCATTGGGCATTGTCGAGTCTCATCAAGTTGCCGAACCCGGTCTGGTCAATTTATCAATACCATTCGATTCTTTTCGCACCCGTCACCAAAAGGGGGTTTCGGGTCCTTGTGTGTCAACTTGGCTGGCCCCCTTTCCAATATTCCAAATGGCGGCCTGTCGCTCTCATTTCTCGCCTTCTATTGGCTTCGAACACTCTATCAATGGAGGACTCGCGGGAACGGAAGTCTCTTCCTGTCTGGTCTTCACCTGCCAGTTGCTCCACTGATTTCCATTTAGCCCGAATTTTCTTGGGGGCCGACTCGGGCCATTTTCCTTCTGGGATTTTTTAACGCCAAATCTGCTGCCACCGTGTAGTGCATCCCACCAATCCGAGACGGTTCGAGTTGCTTCGTTGCACATCAATATCTCCCCCCAGGTTCGACTGAATCGTAACAGAACAAATGTTCTTTTCTAGCTTCCGAAACCCGAGAAATTGTGCTTCAACGGCGAACGCCAACACCACAATCCAACACCGTTTTGAGGTATACTAGAGGCCAATTGCCAACAAGCGTCTCGAAGTCCAGTGATCAGGGGTCTTGGCCATTGGCTCGAATTGGAGGCCATGATGAGCCGAGTACCTTAGTAGGGATGCGGCCGCTGCACGATTCAAGAATCGAGTTGAGTTAGGGCCTGGCTGCTTACTCTGTAGTCTGTACCGGCTAATGGGTACCCCATTCGCATAACGATGTGCCTCAAAGTCCGAATCCTCTGTCAACGAGGTTACCAGCCAGAGCGAGAGAAACGTGAAGCATGGTTCATCGTTGTCTCGAGCATCTGATGTGTGAGAGATTCGATGGCTTTGTCATGCTCCCCCTAGTCACTCCTCTTTTTTCCCCTCCTCTGCTCCGAAGCTGACGATCAATCTGATGCTCCGCCATGAACTGAAGTGGGTGTCGACGATGATTGCTGTACGTCATTCGGCATCGGCAGTGCGACGCATTGCCTCACCTTTGAAGGCCTTTTCTCTGGGGCCTGGAGCTCTAGACCTACAGAAGCAATCTAGGCCAGGCCGCGGTGCCTCGATGGCTCTAAATGGGTCCCAGCGACAAGGTCTTTCGACGGAAATGAATGTGGTGGGAGGAAAAGAGGGTAAAAGGGCTTCACAAAAGAAGTGCAAGCGATTGTGAGAAATAATGGCTGGCGTGTGCATTCCCCTGGCTGGTAGCCAGGCTTGCCAGGGGAGGCGGAGGAGCACGAACAAGGGTCATCGGACTTGTCTCAGAGAGGTAATAAACAACGCCCCCAAATCCAGCCATCTGGGTGCTCACAGACTTTTTTTAACTTTTACGATCCCTCCAGCTCATCGTCCAGGGGGCTCGTCATTGGTATGGCACCGAAGGGGAAAAATTAGTAGAGTAGGACAGGACAGGGTCTGTGTATCCTTCTCTCCATTCATTCAGTCAGCCATATTCTTGTCTCAGCTTCATCCGCAGCCCGAATGCCTGCGGCCCCGACCGGAGGAACTCAAATCCTGGATGGGAATTCTTGAAAGGAGTAGACGACGTGTTGATGACCCAAACTGCTCAGACCCGCCGACATTGAGCAGAAAATCGAAACGAAACAGGTCACAGTGTGGACGGACACATTGACTTTTCCATACACCGGTGCCGGACATTTCCAGAGGAGAAAGGGCAGAATGAAAGGGACAGCGGCATCCAGCCAAGCGACGGCTTTCTCGAGACTCAAGGCACGATCAAGTATAGCAGGTGACATGGCTGGAAAACGAGGTACGGCAAAGCCGCGGATGATGGAGCAATGCTGACTGACATGAGGTGAAGTACCGTACATTTGCTCCCGATGGGGTGTAAAGAGAATGGACGGGCGTGCTCCAAGCAACCCCATCACTGCCGCGAAACGGACGAGAGAAAACGAAGGGGTGGGAAGAAGGGAAGAGTGACCAACAAGCAAGCTCAGCACACCCCCATTGCAATCTTTCTCTGGCTGGCCCGGGTGCGTTGCTTCCATTTCATCCATCCCATCCCATCCCATCTCTCGTCTGTCCGTCTGTAGCCCAACTGTCTCTCTTTGTCTCCATGATCTGTTTCCCCCTCCGAATTTGAGCGAGTCCAAAGAGAGAGAGAGCCGCCGCCATACCCATTTGCCGCGGTTCTCAGTATATCGGCACTTCGATCTGCAACGGTCTCCTCCGTCTCCTCACTCGACTCACACCCGGCCTTCTCATCGACCTGTACTTACTCTGAGGCTTGACCAGCTCATATCGTCCAACTCGCACCAATACCATACCTACCATAGCAAATCCAAAGCTTTCTGCGCCTCTACATTCCTGAGTCCTGAAGGCGAACCCAGCGCTGGGCACCTGACAAGACCTGACTCTGTGCTCGCAAACTAGCCCCGGTTATGGGGTGTGGCTCTGGCTTTGCTGCATAATAAGCCTCTTCATTTCTACCACCTTCGACTCTTCTATCTTTTCTCTTACACACACACACCCTTGCTCTCGCGCCCTCGCTGTCTCTCTCTCTTTCCCTCCAAACACCTTGTCTCGTCGTTCCTACTCGGGACACTCGTAAAGTGTTGCAGGAGGCCCTGCGGCCACGGCTATTTGATCCCACTTACTCAGTCAATTCAAGTCTCACTCGCCTTGCTCTGCAGTCGTTCCCCTCCTCCTCTTTCCCTCCAGCTCAGCTGCAATTGGAAGCAAAGATACATCAGATACAGCTACCTCACCCAAGTCTTGGTATCCCACACCCCCTTGCGATCCGCCTATCCTGCTTCCATCGTCGGCGCCAACACAAGCACATGCCCACCCTCCACTGCGAGAGAGACTCTCCATCACCCACTCACATTCAGTCTCTCACACCCACGTCGATGTCCACACCCATCAATCATCTGTCGCCTGCATCTCGTCCATTCTTGTCCACTACGCCTTCTTTACCAAAGAGCCGGTTGCCAACCAGGGAACCCCCATCTTCAGACATTGCCTTGCAGATCGCTGCATAACGTGCCTCGTTCGGCCGGGTGTCAGCTCCAACCTCATCTCCCCAACTCCAGATCCAGCCCGAGGTTCTCGACGTCGTCCAACAACTAGACAGACTCAAAGCTCCATCTCACAGATCCATTCCGCTACGGCCGCTACCCTACTCTTCCGGTGCCACACTTTACTCTTTTGGCTGCATTTCTCTTGCTGGGCTGCCACGCGCATTGGACCGGGGCAATCCTTTGGAGAAGACGAACTCGTCGGCAGGCATTGAGCCAGTTTGGCCTTCTCGATCTTTTTTTTTTTTTTTGGTAAAAGCACTTTTAGATTACATCTGGGTCTTTCTGGCGCGGTACGAGGTCCAGCTTGTCTCTCTTTGGGGCCATCTAGCCGCACTTGGATTGAATTTGCCCTACCTTACTCCACGGAACGGATACTTCCTCGACCACGGCGCTGTCTGCCGGGTTCATTACTCTTTTGCTCTGCATTACACTACAATCGACCGCCCGTTCGGTAGTGGTACTTCCTGGGCTCCTCTCGCTCGCTATTATCTCTGCCACTGGCTTCGGGTCTTCTTTTTTAGTCTCATCCGTCCCCTCCTCCTGGCACAGACTTCCTTGTGCTTGGTCTTCCTGGCTTCCATCATTCGTCTGTTCCCCTTTGGATTAGGAGGCAAGTGCTTGCTTGTCTCTTTTTCACTCTGGCAGCAGCTGCTTGTCTTCCCGCCTCACCTTAAGTTCCCGGGGCTCACTCACTCATACACACACACATCTCTCTGTGTATCAATGTCACTCGCTCTCTCACACCCAAGTACCCAGTGACCCCCATTTTAGTCCAAGTCTCTTTGGATTATCGTTGCTTTTTTTCATCTGCCCTCTTATTACTTTTTTTCTCCCCTCACTCCCTACTTACACCCTTCCTTTAATTCTGATCCTGCCAGCATCGACCCATATCTGCATCCCTCCCATGTTATAAGACCAACCCCGAGACTACCGTTCACGCCTTCCTCCACACCAACGCCCCGAACCCGCCCCTAAACATCTCTCTCATCGTCACAGGGTTACCCAGTTCTTCCCTGTCAGGCAAAGCAGAGTCCCCTTCCCCTCCCCAAGGCTACATAGACTCGCGTCTAGCCTCGCAGCACTAGGCTACGAGCAGCAAAAGTGGTCCTCTGTCACATCGCGAGCCTCACTACAAGCCTCATATCCCCAACCCACAACACCGCCGCACAGCCTCTCGAGCCTCGGGTCACCAACCTCATCTCAAGACCACATCGGTCCACCCGACGCTTGCTCTTGCTCTGACGAATCGCATCTTGCGTCAAGGCGACTCGGTGGTCGCTGAGACCCTGGTGCGGCTTCATTGCCCAAGCAGATCGCGCAGGGACCGGCTGGTAATGTTGGACATCGTGGTGCATGCGCCATCTGGGATCTCCCTGGTATCAAACCTGACACCAGTTTGACAACTCAGCGCGATATCCACCCCATTCGCTGGCTTTTTGTTTACCAAAATCTAAACTTCTCTGACGACTCACAAGACACCAACGACTCGTCGCCAGTCTTCGTCTAGTCTTCCCGAACCTTCAGGCGTCAGGGCATGAAGGTAGACCGGCGCTAGCTTCGCCGAGCTGGTCGCGACAAGCAAGTCTGAACAGTTAACTTCCTTGTTCTCCCCATCCTTTACTCTATCCGCCGTCTTCCCTCCCAATCCAATTCATAAAAGCCACTTCTATTACTCGCCGCCCGAGGAATCTGCCAGCCCATCCCGTGCTGCCCTCTGCCCGGCTCGACATCAGACAGACCCTACATCGGCATCACACATCAGGCTCTCCGACCCCCAGGTCCAAGTCAACGCTCCCTTACCTTTGTCTCTTTTGACATCTTGCAATCCCATCGGCACCGACCTTACCTCGCCATTATTAGACTCGCGACGTAACTACCCGCCAGTGCCGCTTGGCCGAGTCCAGACTTTTGCACTTTCACTTCGCGACACGTTGAATACCCTTACTCGTCTTGCTTCGCGGAAGCACATACGTCTGGTGAAGGTAGCGCCCTGCGTCGTCCGTTGTCGTCGGCAAAGAAAATTCGTTATACGCCACCGACTGGTATCTTCGACGCGCTAGTCCCGGAGGAAGACAAAGCAAGAGAGAAAAAAACGCAATAGCGTAAGACGGGCTCCAACACGACAATTGGACGGTCTTGTGACCGGTTCGACGGCCCAAACTGGCCTTACTGTATACATCGCCAGCTCCGTTGCCGCCGGCGCACACGGTAGGCTTGCCCTCGGAGCCGACCGGCGACCAAACCCCTCGTGGGATGGATGATCCCAATCGCCGTCGGAGGCAGAATGAAGCGCCCATGCATCCCACCTCCAACCCAAGATATAACGTACAACAAGACCCTTTGCAGCAGCGCCGCACCATGGCGACAGGTTCGACAGAGCGATACAACCGGCCAGCGCCACTCAACACCTCGCCCTCACAGGCGCGAGGCATGGGAAGCACGGGTAGCTACAGCACGTACAATTATCAAGAGCCGGTAGCAGGATCTTTCAACGCGCCCATGGCAACGAACACGATGCATTACCCCTCAGGTTATAGCCAGGATGGCCGTCCGGCGCAGAATTTCGGTGGATATAACGCGGCCATGACGATGGGTTACGATAATCTAACTGGTGCCACGGGCTCCGTTTACGATAATCAGGCGCAATTCCAACGGCAGCCTGCAGCTGCTCCGATCTTGCCGACAGATGTGTCTACGTCGTACTTCTCCAATGACCCGAGCAGTAGCACAGGAACCTCCAACCTTCCCCATGCGCAACCCGCGAGCGCCACGGCGACGGCATATCAACAGCCACAGATGGCGAACTACCAGGCGAACATCCCCAACGTGGGCGGGATGCCGCAGCAGACGTCCAGTGCCGATGTATCAATGGAAGAGCAGGAATATTCTGCCACGGGCGGTCTGGAGGAAAAATGGATGGAATACCAGTCGGCGCTGCGAGGTGTCTTCCAAAATGTTCGCAATGGTGTGCTCGAAAGCGCCAGCCAGTCGCTCCTGGATGTGTCAAACTGGCTCCTGACCCAGGTTGTCGACCTCGGTATGTTGGTTATGTTCCCCCCATACGGCTCGCGCCGAGTTGGGTTTCGTATTCGTCTGGGTCACATTTGCTAACAAGCGGATAACTTACAGGCCTCAACCTGGACGACCAAAATTTGCATGGAGACCGAATCAAACTCTGGAACGACTTCAATCACGCGTGGCTTTCACTATTCCAGATGCAAAAGGATCTGATGGAACCGGGCAGACAGCTGCAGCGATCGCAGACCTTGGTCCCCAAAGAAGGCTTGGAAAAGATGGGCAAGGAGCTCGTGCGGCTCTGCGACGGCATTGAGCGACACGGTCTTGTCGACTACCAATACGGAGTGTGGGAGCAGCAGATCATAGAGAGTAAGCCCCGCGCGCGATGCCAACCTTGAACGCTATGGGACGGCATAGATGCTGACAGATACATTACTAGTCATCGAGGCTTGTCTGGACCAGTACGAGGCAAACGAAGAGTCGAGTGGCAACGGCGGCGGAGCTCAAACGGGTTCCGGCTCTCATCAAGGGAGCAGATAAGGAAGACTGGGGTTAGTCGGCTGCTTGGCCCTGAGATCAAACCCAAGAAACGTACTTCTCAGGGCAATGTCTAGATGCCCGTAAACGTATTCATGGTGGCGCCTGGGCGGTCGGCCTTTTTGTGGATTGCGTACACACATACACCACACATCTATGGCGGCCTCGTTTTATTCTCTTTTTCCCCCAATGTACATTCTCGGCATGTGGAAACGTCTTGTCACGAGAGACGGAGACCTGACACGATGTTACGCGGATTTTGGAGTTCTTCAGGGAGGATAACTGCTCATCATTCTAACGCATTCCAACAGGTGGTTGGGCAGGCATCAGGCATCTATGTCAGCATCCTCAATGGGCTAACCATTTGTGGTTTCTATTTTTTTCTTCTGTTGCTTTTCCATCATTTTTTCAACACATCTTCTGATTCTTTCTTTTTCTTCTTTTTTTGCAGGATATCTCCACTCTGCTACCGACGCCATGTTTATGTGCTTTTAGGCCAAGCTTCGACTAGGCTAAATCTGCCAAGGTCTAACAGCAGACAGGCTATGGAGGTTTCCAGCTTGGAGAACAGAAAACCAAAGACGGAGAGATGTGGGTGGCGGAATTTGGGCTTCTCTTCACTCCAAGGGGGTGAGTGTGTTTGCGTACATGCGGTAGGGGTGTGCGGTGTAAAGAAAAGGGGACGCGGGTTTTACGGGGGGACGGTTATAGATGGGCGAACCAGGAAAGCACTCGGAGGAATGACGAACGATGAAATGCGCGGTGGATGGCCCACCAGACATGTGCAAAAAGTGAGGCCGGATACTCGCAAACGAAGGGATGAGAATCAAAATCCAGAAAAAAAAAAACCTCGGAGTCAGAAAAAGGTCATGGCGAGTTGTGGATGTGAGAGAGCGTTTGGAGGATGGGGTTGATGCTTAGTGGGGGGTTGGGCTGTACGTATGTACGTGTGTATGTCTTTCTCTGTCTTCCTGTTGTAGAAATCATGTATACCTACGGTATTGTAGTAGATCAGGCCTGGATGCTCTCACGAGCTTTGCGTCGTTGCGCAAAAAAAAAATTGGGTGGTGGGGGTTCATCTGTTGGTTTTTATTCTTGTTTCTTCTATTGGTTTCCTCGGGTTCTTCTTTTCTCCCTATTTTGTCAGTTTAGTACCTTTTTTCTTTTATCCTTGTTGTTCTTCTTCTGCCTCGATGTTCTGCCCGAAGTAAATTCGGCTGCTGTATGTATGTACGCAAGTACCTGTCTGTACCTTGTTACCATCAATCAATCAAAAGAGACGGATGATGCGTGAACAATGATGCGCGATGTGAGGCAAGGCAACAGCAAGCCATGGATGCCGGGCCAAAATGCCGTGCAAGTACGCAAGCAACGCCGAAGGGGGGTGAAACGTGCCACACAGAAAAAAGGACAGAAAAGGAAAATGAAAATAAAAAGGAAAAAAAAAACAACTAGTAAAAGATTGTAACAAAGCGTTTCTGCCCAGCTGTTCTCTATCATGGATGTTTGCTTGGTATAGCCGGCACAGCTCGGCGTTTGATGGCTGCCCTGACTGTTGGACGTCGAACGTCTGTGGTTGTTGGGAAACGCTAGCCTCGGCCGGCGCCTCACCGTCGATCTTTCTGCCCTACGCTTATTTGATAAGAAGAATAATGGGCACTATGCGGACATGGTCCCTTGGACATGGTCTTGTAAGCCTCATGCGGGTGATCAAGTGGCGGGCACACACGACGCAGTTTCGGGGGAGCGGGTTGGGCGGCGGTCAAACTGGCCCACCGCCGCCGCCACGCGAGAAATGCGGGCTCGGGGGCCCGGACAAATGGATTGGAGGAAAACAGTCCGGGGCAGACGTCGGAGGAAGAGGGGGGGAGGGGAAGGGATAGAAGGAGGGGGTGGCACCTGATCTCGAAGTCCATTCGTGCCCAATCGGCCTGTCTAGGGCTGGCTTTGATAGGCGGTGTATGTATCCGTACCTTAGCAAGAGGGTCGACTGGTCGGCCTGGACATGACGACTGTGTTTATCTGCGCCGATCTCCCGCCTTGGAGAACGAGGCTAGTGACGCAAGATGGAGAGCAGTCTACTGCAATGTCCAGACCACATCGAACCTCTGGTTGGGCCTATCAACCCAAAGATGTGACCCTTCTCCGCAACCAGGGAAGCTTTGTAGGACCCTGGGAAAATGTACGTCGATCTTGGCTTCACACGGAAATGTGTCGGACTCCTCTGTCTCTCTGTCTGGCCAGCTTTCGAGTGCCTCTCCTCGTGTTGCCCTACGGTCAGGCAGCAATCTCGACCTGTCAATTCTTATGAGGGAGGCAGCGGCATTCGGGGCGTGTGTTTGTCAACATCAGGTTGCCATGTTGGGGGCTCGTCAAAAGTGACACTGTCAGACAAGAAATTTCGTCAAAACCGATGGGCCGGCAACTCAGGCCGTATGTTCCAGGGTTTCCGCTTGTGGCCTGTGAGTGAGCGCGGGAAGCGACATCTGCAAGATTATTTTCTGCAGGGCATCGCAAGCGTTTCTTTTCTTCATGTCAGCTCAACCGTCCTCTATTTGGGCGTTGTACTTTGGTAAGACTATCGGCGGCATGGGCGTTTGTAACTTGACCGAGCTAATGCAGGTTGCTGGCTGAAAAGTGAAGCCTCCCACTTTCCGCCTGTTCCCACTTGCTCGCAGCCGTAGGACGGAGCCCAGGCTCCAGCTCCAGCTCGCAACTGGGTAACAAACAGATCGAGGCTTGCGAATTCAATGGAGATCGTCTCATAGCCGGGTTGTCCCGGGATCTCCGCCAGTCAGCATCGCCCAGAATCTGTAACACGAAGTTATACATGTTGAAAAAGCAAGGTGATCAATATTCGTCTTGGTAGGTAGGACCGATCCTAGGAGCAAAAAAATAAAGTGATTGAAACGCAGCAACGCATACCACAGTATGTCGAATATGGGTGGGACAGTGCTGCGATGTGACAAGTGACCAGGACCTTGCATGAGGCTGGTCGAGTGCTTGGAGGCGAGCTCTTGATTCGGTCATGTTTGACGACTCTGAAGAGTGAGGGATCATGGGGTCCGGCTGCTTGGGACCTTCCGTGTTAGTGCGCATTGGCGTTATTGCTCATTGGTCGCACATATTGACGCACATATTGAGTTATCTATAGTGACATATTGAAGCATTAGCATGACAAAGACATGTGAACACATCTGCGAACTTGGCAATCACCCAGCCCTTCCTTAGCGCTGTTTCAAGGCATCAGACGATGATGTTGGAATAATCAGGTTGATTGCTGCTAGATGAGGCTTGCTATGAGGCGAATACCGGCTCCCTATTCGACTTCGCCTCATAGCAAGCCGGTATGGCGCTGTCTCTGGGCCGCGAGAAACAGGGTACCAAGTTGCAGATCACGGCACGGTGGGCGGTGGTGGGCGGTGGTGTTGTTTGTGTTGCCAGCATGGGTATAGAGATATTGAAACACAGCAGGGAGGTAATCCTTGCTCGTGTGCAGAGGCAAGGCTGTCTGCCGAGAAATGTAGCTGCTGAAGCCTGGAGCCTGGAGCCTGGCGTCAAGCAACGATATTGCTTCTGCTGAGTCTCGATGAGGAAACGAGCTCGGTTTTGGCCACGGATGAGAAGCATGTCAGTGATAAACTATCGGCGGACGCCCCCGGCTGGAACTATGGCGTACCAAGCGTCGCTTTTTGTCTAAGCCTTGCTTGCACGAGCAAGCCCATCCCTACTTGGTCACGACAGGTGTCTCGCCCCTCGAGCCCAGCACTCTGGGCGGCGCGCGGGATCCAAGTAGCGGGAAGAGACGCAGATCTCGGGTATATCCTGTGTCTGGCCGTTCAAGCATGATAGGCGTCGGCTCGGGAGTGAAGGTGCAAAGGGCTACGGAGTACATTGGTGATTGCTTAACCCAGAGGAGTCTAGCAGCACAGTCTGTTGGCAAGCATACCCTACCTTGACTTCTGGCCCTCTCCTTTTTCGCCCTAAAATTTCCAGTGCCATGGTTGGGAATGATTAGGGGGACAGGGTTGAGACTTGCATATCTTTCCTCTGCACGGATTTAGAAAACTGATCTGTCACTTTCCCAGGCGCCCTGCAGCTCCACCGCAGGACGTGCTAGAGACAAGGAAAAAAGAGGTCCCTGGTGGTGGACAGACATGATCTGATCATCCATGTAGGCAATCAACACGGTGGAGCTTTGACTGCTGTACCTATACATGCCCTGGGTACTCTTTCTACGAACCGGCGTCTTTTCAGTTGGCCACTCCGCATCTCCGGGTAAGAAAGATTGCTAATCCGGCAAAGCCGGTGTGGGTCCCGGTTCGGTTTTGGTGGGTCTAATCCCGGCCGGCTTCCCTTCAAAGTTCGTCCGTTTGTGGCTTATACGTTATTACATTCATGTCTCCGCTAAGTTCGTCTGGAAGGCCCAGAAAGTGCCACTTTGAATTCACCGGATGGTATCCACTGGAGCGCCTGCGGTTCCTGGCAGCGTGCTCAATCCCAACCCAAGGGCGTAGAGCAGCTACTCCATATGTGACACTTTAGGCCACGTCGTACACGATGTAAAAGCAGCAATCGTCAGTTTGGTTCAGAAGAAGCCTGATGAGGTGTCCAATTGGTCTCTCTGAATTCTCTAGATAGCCTCAACTCGAATCGCCATGACTCCGTAGACTTAAGCTTCCTAGACAAGACAAATTGATTGGTTAGATATAATTTTGTCGATGACTCGTTAACAGATACTCATGGCTAGTGACACAGGGCAGAGACTCGGTAAGCTAGTAGCTTAGGTTGACTGTCATACGCCCTTCCGGTCGGATGCTACCACTGACCTCTCCCTCGGTAAACCCTGTTTCGGCTACACTCATGTAAGGCAGTTTGTTTTCGCACCAAACTTCGAGCAATCAGCCTTGACTGGTCCCCTACAACATGATTGCCATAGGAAGATCTGACTTGGTTGGAAATTGACTCAACGTGAGAGCTCGCTTTCAACGATCCTCTTGACCGCTTGGAAGGAAAACACGGAATGTCTGTACGTTATGTGAAAATCACCTCAAGTGGTCTGTTGTTCTTGTCGTATCGTATAAGGAGCGTTTGGCTAGGCTGACCCGATTTCCGTAGGACTGGTCTGAAGTCGTGCTTTCATCTGGTCTGTAGGCCATGCTTTCGTCCGAAGCCACATTGATACCCATAGGCATTGGTAAACGGCCCGATATTTCGTCCATCGTCTAATCGTTAGGCGCAGATGACATCCTCGTGGTGAAAACCTGATACGCGGTACTGCAAACTAGCCATGTGAGGAGGAGGCCCAACCTGTCTGCTATGGTCGGTTTGCCTACCTTTGCACGAAAATACTGCGGGATACACGGTAGTGGAATGTCGCGAATTTTTTTATGTGTACGGATGGTGGTCACAACGAACAGCCTTGGTAGGTCGGCAGTCTAACGTGCTTTGTTGAGAGCTGAATGCTTGGAGGCTTACCGACACCAAGGAAGGTGCTTCGTCAGGTGATACCCGTTTACCCAACATACGGGGCAGCGACGGAAGATCAAGCGCTCCTTAGCACCTGTTCACCAAAAGGTGTTCACTGTGTCATGGCAACTGCGTTCCAGATCAGTTTTGTGGCTCATAACAGCCCGTTAGTTGCCATCACTCTTTTGGTAGCCTTTGCAAATGTTTGAACTTAAGGGCAGACACCTCTCTCCGGGATTGGGTTGGGGTCCTGAGTGTCGCGATCAACTAGTAATTCCAAGATAAAGGGGAGTGTCATCGTATCTTGATAGCTTTTGCTTCCGTATAATCGGGGAAAGGTGTTCAAGGAGTCCCAAGTCTAGATATGTACTTAGGTATCCCGGATATAGTCAGGTACTCCAAGCAATCTCCCAAGTCTTCTATCGAGTTAGGACAGGTGACCTTCGAGCTCCACATATCGTGGACATTTTGCCCAACTTATCCGCTAGATACTTGTTGTAGTCCAATGTTGTTTCATTGAAATGCTGAATCGTGGCCGCTGTGAGATATTGTTCGTCTGACAAGCACATTGCCCTAATTTACAGTATGTAGCGAAATATCTTAACTGACTCCAAAGAAAGTGCAATCTCAGTCATTGAAGGCGGAAGTCCCATTTGAACATCATGAATTCACTGCGATATATTTGTTCCCGAAAATTGGCAGGCTCGTGGACCTCGTGACGATTGTATTGTGACAAACACTGATGCGTCGATACCTTCCTGTTCGGCATTCTAATCTCAGGAAAAGACAAGAGGCCAAAGTCTGACTACCAAGTATATTGTCGTCGATGCAGTGATGGGATTGCAAGTCGCCTAGCTAGCTGCGATGCAGTCACGGGTACGAGGTCTGATTTGAAGACCCCCAAGCATGCATGCGCGTAATGGTTTTCCACCTCCGTAACCCCGACCTCTGTATCTTGGTCATATGCCTTGTTGAGGCGTGGAAACCACTATCAAACATGGATGTCATATCGCGTCAATAGAATCGTATTGTCAAACGCAATAGACGGAGAAAGGCTCTTTGAAACCCAGAAACTTCAATCCAGGCAAAAATGACGACATTGGTGCCGCCCGGGGGTAATGTTTTATCTCTACCTCGAATGAAGATTGTTGCAATTCATGTCTCATGATCCTGATGTGCTCGCCCACCGCCGCGCTCAAGTCTAAAATGTGTCTGGGAAGAGATGTTAGCTTGATCACCGGCCAAAACAAGGTGCGGAACCCCCAGGAGCGCAGAAGATGGAGCTCACCCAAAGTCATGCTCATGCTGACATCCGTATTCTCCACCATCTTGGTAAACTCCTCGAAGCTAATCTTGCCATCCTTGTCCAAGTCCGCCTCCATGATGGTCTTGTCGACGATCTGCTGCAGCTGCTGGTCCTTGAGGTTGCTTCCAACCATCATCTTGAGCACAATGAACAGCTCGCCGTTGCTAATGTAGCCGTCGCGGTCGATATCGTAAACCTTGAAGGCAAAGCGCAGCTTTTGCTCCTTATTGCCCTTGCTAGAAAAGGCGCTGAGGCCTGATACGAATTCCTGGAAGTCAACGTCTCCACCACCATCCTCGTCGAAGATAGCAATCATTCTGTGTAGGTATCGCTTTAGCAACATGATCCGCAGTGATTCGTATCGGGAGGGTGTTGGCTACCTTGTGGCTAGCGGGTTAGACGAGATCTGGGGCAGGCTGAGGAACTCATCACGTTCGATGGTGCCGGAATTGTCCTGCAAGAAAGATGGGTCAGCAACATTGTCTCCTTCTGGCGATTGGGTCGCCGTTGCGTGCAAATTAAGGGAAAATGAGCAGGCCTTAAGAACATACCTTGTCCAGCTTCATGAAACGTTTCCTCAGACGGTCAACCTCCTCTCTGTCGACTGTATACCAGTCAGCTCCAGCACACCGAAGTCTGTGCGACAAAGAAGTCGACTGCGGGGGAGGGGCTCACAGTTGGACCCCTGGACGATGTTGTCCAGCACTGTACTGGTAGTGTTGCCCATGATGGAGAAACTCGAGAAATCGGACCCGACTTAAAGCTGTATGGATGCACGGTGTAGTTGGCAGGAAATATTCCCGGGTCGTCGCAGGTGGGTGGGCTTGTGTCGAGCTCGACTTCGCTAAGGTTGTTCGCCGTGGGGTTTGCCTTGAACAGGGAGGTTGACAAGTACAAGGCTCAGGTGCAATATGGCAGGTAGTCGAAGTAAAGTCAGGCGGCAGCCAGGCGGCGGCCAGGCGCCGGCTTGGACGTGGATTCGGGCACCTGAACCGGAGCCCACCGCAGCGTATTGATGCACGGGCCACTTCTAGATCTCATTGTCTGACGTATGACTTGGACAGCTGGCGAAGTGTCAGATGTATAACCACCACATTTGAGTTTCGGAAGGATGGAACAAGATGAATTAATTGAGACGCGATACACGAGCTATTGGCTTATACCAAAGACCAGTGCGACAACGGAGAAGAGAAATAATGTGGCCACTTAGCACAGCTCTAGCTGCTTCCTGATATTGACAAGCTGACTCTAATGGCACGTGACTTGCACCTTCCCCTATTTTCAGGCGCTCTTTAGGGAGGTGCCAGTCAGTTCCATGGGACGTGTCGGCCAGTCTTTGCTTCCAAACTCCGATCCGGCAATTGGCCCGAGCGCCCTCAAGTACCGACACAGCACGTCTGCTATTGCATAGTACCTTGAACGACCAAATCCAACCCGAAAGGTCCTACCTTACTGCGTAGAAGTGCAGCAGGAAAATTCTTCTTCACGCCAAACGCCAAATCAACGTCGCCTCATAGCCAGCAACAGATCGACCATCAATCCAAACCCAACAACCACGATTTTTATCCGTCAAAACTTCAAAAATCAACGTCGCATGACCCCTTGTATGACTTGATCGACTTTTTTCGCGGATTTTCCGCTGGCTTTCGGCCTTCGACCCCCACCCGCCACCATGTCGACAAGGAAAGTTAGAGTCAAGAAGTTGAGCGTCAAGACGCTTCTTCCTGTACTCAGAGAGACCGATATCGACGCTGCTGAGTACGAATCTTTGACTACCGAAACCCAAATCGCAACCGGTGTCGAAGCCGCCGAGGAAACAGTGAGTCACCTCCATCCATATCATATCGCAGCTAGATATCACGTGACCCACCATGTGATATGCCTCGGCACCCCAGCTTATCCACTTCTCACTCAGTGCTCACCAGAGCAAAAACAGCCACATACTAACCGCGATTCAATAGGAATACCATCTCCAGTCAATTCTTAAAGAAGCGGGCACCAGCAATGATCAAGAAATCCCAGTTCCGCCTCCCCAGGAGAGCCAGATCAACTATGATCAGCTTTATCCCAGTAACTTTCAGCAGCCTACCTCTTTCATCCGCTTCTCGCAGACTGTCGAAGAATGCATTGGCGTTTCATATGACATGACAACCGAGGATGATGAGTTCCTGAAGCAGTACAATGCCACCAAGAAGACCGTCGCCTCTCAGCTGTCAGAGGATGACTTTGAACGCATTATGGAAGTGTTCGAAGACACGGCTTCTGAACAGACTCCATTCGCATCAATAGACAACACAGTGGTTGGCTATGATCTCATGGTGCCCTCTCTTGCCTCGCTCGGTGGAAACAAGCTCATGGCTCACGCCAAGCATGTCTATGAGCACTGGAAAGCGCGCCGCCAAATACTTGGCAACAAACCCATTCACCCAAGCGTCAAGTTCGAGACACACCAGGAGAGTGATGAGGCCGACCCATATGTGTGCTTCAGACGCCGTGAGGCTAGACAGACGCGAAAAACGCGGCAGAGAGACGTCCAAAGTGCCGAGAAACTGAAGCGACTTCGCAGAGAACTTGAAGATGGCCGACAGCTCATCATTCAGTCTTATGAGCGTGAGATGCTCAAACGTGAACTACTTACCTTTGACCGGGCGATCTTCGAACAGAGGGCCAAACTCAAGGAGATGAAGGTCAAGCTCGGCATCAAGACCGAGGACGACGACCTCATCAACCACAAGGTATGTCTAGCATCGTGGTCCAGAAATTCAAAGACACGTGCTGACCGAGCGCAGCCTCCCAAGAAGAAGCCCGTGGAGGCGCCTACTCTCCAAAAGCCACCGGGCAGCCACCTTCGCATTGCCGTGCGGCCGGATGGTCGATCCATGGAGGCAGACTTGTTGCAGCTGGCAGATAAGCTTGCTGAAAAGGAGAATGAGTTGCGAGCAGATGTTGAAAGCAAGGTCCACAACCACCGAAAGTGGAACCAAAATCATGTGGACCTCACGCGAGACCCCCTGTCACCGGTCAAGGAACAACGCATGGAGGTCAGCTTCCGTCCTGCCAAGACCCAGTATCTGATGACGCCTCCCGCGTCCACCTCTTCCGAGTCAGACGCCATGGATGTCGATGAAGAGCCAGAACCTGTCACTGACAGAGGCGAATTGTCGATATTCCAGTTTAGAGCAGGCGGAGGAAAGGATAAGCCGTCCAGTAGCCAGCCAGCCTTCCGTCGTCGAATCGGTCGTTTGGGGCGGCTGTGGATTGACCGTCGGGGAATGACTACTCCGCCGAGAGAGGAAGGCGAAGATTATACTGATCGGTGGAAGTATGACCAAGATGATGAGCAAGAGACGCATGCGTATGAGGTGGACCCGTATGACACGCGGGCTCTGAAGTTCCGCGCGACGATCCCGCTGTCGCAATATGTGTACCAGCGCCGACAACTTCCGCATGAGGGCATGGTCAACGGCCAAACACCTCAGCAGACAGCGGGCGTGGCTGGCAATAGATCTGCACTGCCGCAACCTTCAACGCCGCAGCAAGCGCAACCACAGCCACAAGCAACGCCGCAGCAGCAGCGGCAGCCATCTCAGGCTTCTCCGCCAGCTCAACCTGCTGCTACCCCCTCATGAGAGATGGTCTGGCTTGCAAGGCTCGATCTCTGCTCCTCATCTTCGGATGACGTGTGTTGTATACCCCCATGGTGTTTTGGTTGTCTTTTGGTTTCGTACAAAGGGCCTGGTGGCTGGCAGGTGGGCAGGCAAGGCGGTCGGTTAGGCGTGGCGTTTTGGGTTGACATGGCTCTCATGTAAAGTATATGAATGTAAAAGAAGAGTGATTTGGAGGCAAGTGGCCTACCAAGACGAGGGCCTCGGCCAGGGATGGAAGATTCCCCAACACAATAAACAAAGATGAACAATGTACTCCATGCCTTCAGTCGCTGACTTGATCGCCTATTGCTCTCGTGTAGAAGCGGAGGGGGAGTGCTCGTTCGCCTCGTTCGCCCTAGGCGCGGTCGGCCGGATTATGGCGGAGATGACGATTGAGGTCGGCTTCCGGCGGCTGGCGGCGTCTGACTCTGCTCGAGGTTTCCTTGGAGACTCGGAGCGCATAGCCTTGCTTTGTGGCAGCGAGGAGTGGAAAAAATAGAGGGTCGGTAGCTTCATGTACTTTTGTGTGCATCGGCTTGTTGGTGTGGTGAGGTGGGAGAAGTAGGAGATGGTTTGTGAGGTGACTCGGAGAGTTTGCGACGAGCGGCTGGTCTCACACGGCATCATACGTGGGAGACCCGGCTGACGAGACTACAGGTTAGCAGGTAGTGAAATTGAACAGCTTCTAGGTTTCCTACAAAGAAGTGAGAACAAGCCTGTAACAGTTTTTGCAGCTTGTCAAAGAAAAAAGAAGAAACCAGACTGTTGTGTGGTAGGTGAGGTAGTCGTGAAATGTCAGCAGACGGCCTTTGTCTTTCTGGAACATCCCGATTCGGCTGATCTGTGCCCGCAGATCCCTCGGCCGATCACGAGACGGCAAGAAAGGGGACCTGAAGGGCCCAAGAAGAGTAGCAAGAAAAACGAAGACTGCAAAAGAGGGGAAACAAGAAAATCGAGATATCTGTAGCAACGGCGCAGAAGAGGGGCAGGGCGAACTGGGAGAGGAATATCCTGGAGTAAAAGAAGAGAAATAATTGTGTAGTGAGAGGAAGGGGAGTCCACTTCTTGTCGAGGCTTGCCGGTGGTGGGTGTGGGGATAATTGCTTTGGACCTCCAAAGGTACCTTGACCGGGGGTGTTTCTGAGCGATAAAACGGTGCGCCAACCTGGACAATGGGATGACTCGGGCTGACTACTGACCTGCTGAGTATGCCGAGGCCTTTGTCTGAAGAATAGAAGCGATGTGTATCTCATGGGCGAGGTCAATCCCATGGGGAAAAGACAGAGGGAGAGAAGAAGAGAGAGAGGGGGGAGAAAGCAAGGCGAGAGAGAGCGAGTCCTGGGCGAGGCGGGCGGCATTTGCCGGGGGGTAGAGTGTGTGAGGTCGCACACCTACCTGGTAGGCAGGAAGGCTGGTAGACTGAGAAAGGGGGGGGGGGGTGGTTCACCTGTGGACATATACGCAAAAGGCTGAGAAGGGTCCGGTGCGGTGTGTGAACAACGGTTGTGGCAGCTCTACCGGAGGGATCATGCTGCCCACCCGAATTCGAGCGTGCGCTTCTTTGGGGCCCGTGGGCAGGGGACCAGAAATACATTCGGGACCCACAATTACCCATCCACAGGTTCTTTCTCTGATATTGGAAACCGACATCCCACCAACGGGATTACCCCTCCTACGTCAACTCCCCCCCCATTGGTTGATACCAACTTGTCGCGACAGACGACGGAAAGTAATCGTCGCAATATCTACACCAAAATTTCAATTCTCTCCGTTTAATGACGAAAGATTTTCCAGCATAAAAAATTGACACATTTTCTTGGAAGATCTCCGGGGCTCGAAATCTAGTGGAGAGGAGTGTGAAATCAAAGGTCAAATTTGGCTAAAGAGCCCAGGCAATCGGTCCAACCCTATGAGTTACACCACCACCCGTCCACCAAAGAGGCCCCGCGATCTAAACCTCGTCGTCGACACCCCACCGCTGCCGCCACCACAACAACAACAGCTGCTACCGCCAGCCATGACCGCAGAATCCCCCTCCAAGCTCACGACGGCAACAATGTCCAAGAAGCGCGGCCTCATCGCCCTCGGCTGCGAAGGCTCCGCCAACAAGCTCGGCATCGGCGTGATGCTCCACAACGGCACCGAGTCCACGATCCTCTCCAACATCCGCCATACCTTCGTCTCTCCGCCGGGGACGGGCTTCCTCCCCAAAGACACGGCGAAGCACCACCGCTCCTTCTTCGTCCAGATCGCCCGCCGCGCCCTCCGCGAGGCCGGCGTCTCCGTCGCCGACGTCGACTGCGTCTGCTTCACAAAGGGCCCCGGCATGGGTGCGCCCCTGACGAGCGTTGCCGTCGCCGCCAGGACGCTGAGCCTGCTGTGGGACAAGCCGCTAGTGGGCGTGAACCACTGCGTCGGCCACATCGAGATGGGCCGCACCATCACCGGCGCTCAGAACCCGGTCGTGCTGTACGTCAGCGGCGGCAACAGCCAGGTCATTGCCTACGCCGAGCAGCGGTACCGAATCTTTGGTGAGACGCTTGATATCGCCGTCGGTAACTGCCTCGACCGCTTTGCGCGCACCCTCGAGATCAGCAACGACCCGGCACCGGGGTACAATATCGAACAGCTGGCCAAGAAGGGAACGCGGCTCCTGGAGCTGCCGTACGCGGTCAAGGGCATGGATTGCTCGTTCTCGGGCATCCTTGCCTATGCGGATATCCTCGCAGGCCAGATGAAGGCGGCGCAAGCCAAGGGGGAGGAGACGTTCACGCCAGCTGACTTGTGCTTTTCGCTGCAGGAGACAGTGTTTGCCATGTTGGTTGAGATCACGGAGCGGGCCATGGCGCACGTTGGCAGTAGTCAGGTATTGATTGTGGGAGGTGTCGGCTGCAACGAGAGGTTACAAGAGATGATGGGTGGAATGGCCGCGGAGAGAGGCGGCAGTGTCTACGCGACGGACGAGCGTTTCTGTATCGACAACGGTATCATGATTGCTCATGCCGGCCTGTTGGCATACGAGACCGGGTTCAGGACGCCCCTCGAGGACAGTTCATGTACTCAAAGATTTAGAACAGACGAGGTATTCGTCAAATGGAGGGACTAATGCCACTGGCTAGTGCGGCGAAACCTGGCTGTTCATTTCTTTTTGTTCACTTCTTTTGCCTCATGACAATAGGGGCAATAACTCTAAGCTAGGTGACGATCATCCACGCAGGACATGCACTCTACTCCATGCTGGAATTCGGTACCAACCCAGAGTCTCCAGTTACTCGTCTGTTGTGGTGGGCTTGTATATGATCGTCGTGACATACTACCCGAGTTGTTAGTCCTGGACTCAGTTCGGCGCTGCATTGGATAACTTACCTTATTCTTGTAACGCGTGGTTGCCGACACAGCTAGAATGTTATTCTTGATACTGCTGGTGGCAAGATGGTTGAGAACAGTGTGATTGGGCATGTTCAGCACACTATTATCGTCCTTCATGAGAACTGCGGCATTCAAGATGGGCTTACCCAAGAAGCCTGGCAAACTCGGGGGTGTCGGTAACTTTTCAATGGCTGTTACCGCGTACTGATAAGCTGGCGAATCTTCGGGCTGGTCGAAATCCACCAAGTACTTGGGTATCTGGTGGAAATATTGGCTGGGCGAGGGCACCTCTTTGCCTCTGGGTGGCTTGGGCTGTTCATCAGTCTGCGATGCCGATGTCTTGGGGCCGCCCTTGTCAATGGTAGCTGCTGTAGCCACGCCGTCCTTTCCAGGCTCAACAGGTGCTGCCGCCGGGAGGTCGTCTGCGCTCACTTCGATGAAGTTGACCAGGTTGTTTCCGAAGTCCACAGTTGTCGGCAGGTCAGGCGAGGTCTGCATGATTCCGTCCACCAAGAACCTAACATGGTGTGTTCCCGGAAGAATATGAATCGTGGCTGCAAACACGCCAGGCTGGCCATCGCTGTTGGCCACGGATTGTCAGCTCAGTTCGTGGGAGTATCGACTTGTGGTATGGCACGTATGGTACAATGTAAAGAAGGCAGCCAAGGGGTCAGGGTCCCAGACCACTGGAGAGCCACAGGTGTAACGCGGGTAGCCGAGACCCAAGCCCGCATTGAAACTTACACAGGATGTAATCTATGCTTGCGGTTCCACTGGAAAATGGTTCCCGTGACGTAGATCTTGCCTCCTCCCCTGCGCCATTCGAGACGAGTGGGCACCGTTGGCCGTGTCTTATCGACAATCAGCTCCTCTCCATCCTCTTCTTCGACTGTATTTGTGCTCAAGGCTGAGGACTTCCTAGTCATGCCATCCTCGAGGGTTTCCACTTCGGCCACGCCAGCGTCCTTGGTGTCGGCTGGTGCGATGATGGGCGAACCAGGAGTATGAATCTCCTCCTCGATGGGGAGTGGCATACGTGGAGGACGTGTCAGGTAAGACATGTCGTTGACGCTGCTGTTCCCAACCAGCGGTGGTTCGACCATGTGGGCAGAGTAATGCGATCTGAGGGAGGAGGATTCTGTCGCGGCGGCAGCTGGGACGTCTACGGGCTTGCTAGGCGCATCGCGGACAACCTGCTTCGATTCTGGGGGCTTCGGCGGCGGGGCGGAGTTACTCGAGTTTGATGAGGGAGAACCGGTGGTGAAGTTGGAGATCGGAATGGCCTGGAGAGGCCTAGGACCCTTTGTAGCCGTGGAACCTTGTGCCTGAGTAAGGGAAGGTTCAGGCGGGGCAGCAACTCGCTCGGCAGACCGGGGCGGGATGATGTGTTTGGACTCCCTCTTGTGGTGGTGGTGCTTGGGAGAGTCCTGTGATGAGACAGGCGTGGCCGGCTTGGACGACGACGAGGGGTTGTTTCCCATTTTGTGTTGTTTCTTCTTTCAGATCCGCTCGTAAGGTACGGTACGGTGGGACACGACAGCGTGGTCTCGCTGCGTTCTGGGGGTGGGCAGGCAGTCCTGGTGCCTGGCCAGACCAAGTTTGGATCGTTTTCAAGGGTAAGCGGCGAGGTCGGGCGGACACACGGCAGGCGACGCGGGTTGCGGGATAAGGTAGGTTACGGCAGGCGATGCAGTGGAAAGCGCGAGGACAGCGCTGCCCAGACGAGCGCAATGCAGCGATTCGGCGGCAGTCACAATCGGGGGTCGTCGGGACCCAATGTTCCCACGTCGGGCCAAGGTAGCTGCGGCGACTGGAGTTTGTGCGATCCAGGTTAGGTAAGGCGCGGACTGCACGACGATACCTATGTAGCAAGACGCGGGGTTGCGACTTAATTATCGCATTCTCTCGAGATTGAGATAAAGCCGGGACGGGCGATGGCGATGGCGGGCGTCGGGGTTGCTTTGCTCTGCGGAAGAGTCAAGCGGAGATTCGCTGGTGATGGGGCGAGGATTTGCAGAGTGAACACCGCAGCTTCGCTCCTATGAAGATTGGATGAGAGGTTGAGTTAGTTCAATACCAGGCGAAGTCGAGAGAGTGTGGAGGGGTGGTGGTGTGTTCCACTTGGATTGGGGGGGGCTCGAAAGCAGCCGAAGCCAGATAAGCTCTACCTGATTGGTACTCCATATCACATATTGCGGACCGTGGGGAACCAAGTCCCTGCGGACCTCCGCTTAGCCCATCATTGTGCAACTCGCCGGCAGACCTACCACCCTAAGGTACTGACCGGCCTTCCCGTCATCTCTATAGTCTTTGAACCTCAGGCTGGTACTTGCCAGATGGCCTTCAGCGTCCAGTGACATGCAGTCGTACACGTCCACTCTCTGCTAATTATTGAGCGATTGCTATTCAAAATCGAGAGCCAACGGTGTGCTTGGTCGGCATCTTGGCTGGTCAGTGCGCAGGCTGAAATTGCATCCAATCCATCCATCCATTTCCCCCCCCTGGCCTGATGAAGTAAGTCAAGCTCCAACCGTCACTGAATGTGGCCGTCCGATTCCTCTATCTGCCTGCTGGCACTTCCTTCTAGATTCGAGCTGGAGCTCAACTCAAGCAATTTGCAGGTACCAACCTACCCAACTCTCTCCCCTCCCTCCCGCAGCCCGCCCGCGCACCCTCGTACTTATGAATGAGAAGGCTGGAATGTGACCGACCTCACAGCACCGGATTATACGCCCGTGTTACAAATCCACCGCTCTTGGTTGTAACCTACAACCTCTCCTCGGTCATCATTCACCCCTCGCCAGCATCTTTCTAGGCCACCGCAAACTTATCCGATTGCCATGCTTGAGAAAGCAAAACGTGGTACTCCCTTCTACAGGTATAGCTTACACTGAGCTACCCCTGCTACGCTTCATCAAATCAAGGTATCACCAGCTTTTCCTCTCATATCCCTTAGCATGGCGCTGCTGTCGTACGCTTCTGGCGTGTTTACCATCGCGACATGGCCCGCAAGGATCGCTTGGAAGCCAGTGGCATTCTTCATCAACGTGATCCTCGTCCTGTTGTCGCCTCTCCTTCTTATGGCAACGTTTGTTCTTGGATGGTGCCAAGCTGTTATCGACTTCATAGCCAGTCTTCAGGTAAGCAGACCCTCCCTTGGAACGCACGTTGTTGACGACATCGCTAACCCGCACAGCCTCTTTACACATTTGTTAGTTCTCTGAGTTGCCCCCGCGAGAATTGGAGCATTGATCCACTAAACAACTTTCCCGCAGCTGGCTTGTGGCGCGTGCATTGGCATCTTGGTTGGTCTGGCCTTGTCGTGCACGTCCGGCGTCATCACCTCCGTCCTCGGCATGCATGATCGGAGGTCGAGTTTGCTCTCTCCAACGCCGATGCCTGGGACGCCATCCTCAGAGCGGCCCGGGACAGGCAAGACAGAAGACTCCTCATCCTACGAGACTGATTGGCAGTTGCTGAACAAGCCACCCCCGAAGAGACGGAGGCGAACCCCTGGACTTTGGTCACAAACAATTCACGAGGAGGATGATGATGATTCAGAGATTTGATTTAGTGTTTCGGTCTTTTTTCACAGATACCATATGCTACGGGGAAGGGAAACATTCATTACCGGGGAATCACTTATATACCAGCCTTGCTTGGAAATATGCCTCCCGCCCCAAACGCCTGTCCCTCGCTTTGCCGAGCTGTCCTGCCGTTCGATATTATACTGTCTTTTGTACAAGCCGCAATCTCATCTGCGGTATGTGTCCCGTTCCCGCATAGGAGAGCGGCTACGGCTCCGGGTCCGGCGGTCCCAGTCTCGCTCGTGCCATCGCTCGTCTCTACTGTTGCGACGGCGGTCGCGGGGAGGCCGGTCGTCTCTGTGTCTTTGAGGAACGTCATCTCTGTAGCTCGGGATATAGGTATCCACATCGGGAGCTCTTCCTCCCCGACTTCTTGGCCTCCTGTCTCTGTCTCTGTCTCGGTAGTCTTCACGTGGCGGCATGGGGCCGCCGTTGGCATACTCGGGTGGTGGCGGTCGCGGAGGCAAACCTCTGTCTCGCTGCCAAGCTGGTCGGCGTTCGTCGCCGCCGTTTCTGTGACCTCCAGGCACATTGGCGTTGCGGCCGTTCACCCCATTGCGGTTGCTGTAAGCATCGGTATTGTTAAACCCGGCATTTGCGCCGTGCGCCTCGGGACCCATGCCCACCGTGCCTCCCTTAGGCGCCGGTGGGAGCTTTGCCTGGCGATCGTGGAACTTTCGCCTGTCTAATTCATGACTGTCCTCGAAGGTAGGAAGGTCTCCTGGTTCGGCTGGCATGGGGGCCATTTTGAAGTATGGATGGTTGAGCGCGTCGGCGGCATTGATGCGACTTCTCCAGTCCAGTCTGAGAAGCTCCTTAAGTAAAGAGACTGCTCCGGTTCCGTACTCTCTGAACTTGTTGGATATGCTGCCAGACCGAGGGCGTGGGGCTACTGCTTCGGCGCCAGGCAGAGTATTGAACAAAGGCATATTCTCCGGTGTGGGCGACCCCATCAGATCCCAAATGATGTCGAGTTGGTGAGTGTCGCTCTCGCCAGCCAAAATCGGCTTTCCAACGAGCATTTCGCCAAAGACGCAGCTGTCAAACACTCAGCAACGTGTGTGAAAATGCGCCAGACCTGACACTTACCCGACACCCCAGACGTCAATTGCGGTTGTGTACTTTTTCAGGTGAAGCAACAATTCCGGAGGCCTATACCATCTTGTGACGACAAGGCCAGTGTATTCCCTCTTTCCCTCCCCTGCGCCATGCCCTGGCTTCGGCGTAGGTCCTTCGTAGTGTCTTGCTAGACCGAAGTCGGCGATTTGGAGGATGCCTTTGTTGTTGATAAGAAGATTGGCAGCCTTCATATCTCGATGCAGGATATGGCTGTCGTGCAAATATCGCAATCCCTCAAGGAGCTGCAACATGTAACATTTGATCTGAGGTTCGGTGAAATGAACGGAAGGGTTGTCGAGAAGACCCGACAGATCGTGGTCCATGTACGGAGTTGCCATGTACATGATCGGACGCTTGCGCTTGTCGCCTGTCACAATTCTGGTCAGGAATTGCTGCTGGCGAATTGGGTAGTTGAGCATGAGCGACTTACTGGCTCTCTGAGGGTGCTCCACAGCCATGTCCACCAGCTGCAGGACATTTTTGTGAGAGAGCAGTTTCAGAAGTTTGATTTCTCGCAATGCCGTGATGGGGAACTGTCGACCGTCAGCAGATGCGCTGGCTGCCTAGCAAACCAGAATCACACGTACGCCATCCTTTTCGTGGTGCATGATGATCTTCTTGACGGCGACGTGGGCATTCGTCTTACGAGATCTCGCATGATGAACTTCACTGCACAGTAAATCAGTAACGCGACCAAAGAAGCAAGATCTGGAGGTGCACTAACCCGAAGGTACCCTCACCCAGCTTGCCAAGAAGTTCGTAGTCGGAGATTCGTGAACAACCCTGGAAGCTGGCCCGGGGACGCTGGTGCTGCATCGCAAAACTTCGAGGCGATAAGCCCCCATTGGCCGCGCTGGAATCCATGATGGTTGCGAAGCGCGGCGAGATGCGCCTGTCGCGAGAGAGATTGGCTTGCTCGATGGGACGTTCTGGTGAGAGATGGGATCAAGGGCGAACGACAACTTAAACGGGTCGCATTGCTAGTGGTCGCTAGGTGTCCACGGGATAATCGCGGCCGGCGTCTACGAATGTTGCAGTATCGTATTTGCGTCGATGACGAGGAGCGGTGGTAGTTGTCAGATTCCAGCCGCCCAGGTAGCTGAGGATGGGTTGGCGTTTGGGCGGTGTCTGTGGCAGAATCCCAATCAAGTTCCAGATTGACGATGATGGAACTCGAACGTCGCGGAAAATCCCTGGTCCTGGATTGTGGGTCCTGCCGAGCGCGCGTAAGGTAAGGTAAGGTAATTAGGTACTCCGTAGCCTTGGGTGGAAAAAAATGGCAGGTCCATTCTGGCCTAGTCCGTGCACGTGCGTCATCGTCCGAAGGTGAAGTTCTGCAAGCAACTCATCGCATTTCTGGCTGATTTCAATTCGCCCTCGAGCAAATGCCAGATCTAAATTCCGCCTCGGGCCAAACTTGGCAAAACAAGGAATATCGACAACGACCTTAGTTCATTCTATCCTCCTACACGAGCAGCACCGTGGTCAGCGACTCACACCATCGTCGAGTCTAGCCGGCCATGCCCGCTTCCTAGAAATGGTCACGCCGCTGTCGTGGCCGTTCTGTTACTTAATTATTACCCCTCCAAAACTCTGTACGCCATCCGCTATCGGCTTTTGTCTCGTCAACTCCTGCCCCGCGATACTTGGCTCTACCCGGGTCTTCGCCCAAGTTTTGCAACAGTCTTTGGCTTATCGCGATAAGGCGTGCCATCGAGCGCGAGGGGCAATGTTGATACCTTATTTACCCGCATTCCCTTGTGTCTCCTTATCCGAGGCTTCGGTCAAGCACGCACTAGCCTTATGCCAGCCAGCTCTTGTCGGGTTCATCCAGACCGTTGCCGTATACCGGCCACCAAGGGCTCTTCTAGCTGCCTTTTAATTGCTGGTGTATGCCACAACCTTGAAATGACTTGATTGACTCGCCATCCGTCTCCACCCCCGTGCTTTCACCATCCATCACTACCCGCCCATCGCAGTCTCTCACAGACTTCTGCGTCTGACCAAAATTACAAAAATTTGCACCGCCCGCGCGTGACACTGGCCAACTGTTGTCGCCTTGCTCTCCATACAAAAGCTCCTGCCCCTCCATTACCCCGTGCCCCTCAATTTACCCATCTGTGGAGGCTTTGGTACTTGATAAAGTCTCGACTTGATCGATTGCAACTTTATTTCCTTCATTGCTGTTTCCTACCTGACAAGACTCGAACTCGGCATCACCGGTACACCGACAAAATGGCTTTCGAACCCACCGCCGAGAGACTCCTGCCGGCGTCCAACTACCCGGAATCTAGAGTCCTCATTATCATGACGGGCGGAACCATCTGCATGCAGCCTACCGCCGACGGACTCCAACCCATTGGAGGCTTCTTGAAGGATGCCATGGCCCCGCGGCCCTCATTCAACGACAAGTCGTCCCCATCCGGTAGGTTTCTCTAAAGGACATCAAGCACCAGGAAAACCGAGAGCCACGAAACAGAGCACTTGTCTGGCTTCTCAGCATGTTAGGAGTGTTACCCTCACCTAACCCGATGAAGAGCCCGGATTAATTGTCCATGAATCTTCCTTTCCGAACCACCTCTAGACTGAACTACCATAAATCAACATGACTACTATATGTAACCAATCTCACTAACAATGCGTAGTCCAACTTGAGGCCGTCAAGGATGGGCAAAGAATCATGATTGACAGCTTGAGAACCCCACCAAGCGCCTACTCCCGTCACATTCGCTATGGCGTGCTGGAGTTCAACCCTTTGCTGGACTCGAGCTCCATCTCAGCTGAGGGCTGGACCGAAATCGCCCAGACCATCAGAGAGAACTACCGCCTTTTTGACGGGTTCGTCGTCTTGCACGGGACCGACTCTCTTTCGTACACGGCCTCGGCTCTGTCATTCATGCTTTCTGACCTGGGAAAGCCGGTAATCCTCACTGGCTCCCAGGCCTCCATCTTTGCTCTTCAGTCCGACGCCGTCGACAACCTCCTAGGGTCGCTCATCATCGCAGGAACCTTTGTTATCCCCGAAGTTGGCCTCTTCTTCCACCACAAGCTGTTCCGCGGCAACAGAACCAGCAAGGTCTCATCGGCCGCTTTTGAGGCCTTTGCCAGCCCCAACTGCGAACCCCTGGCCAAGGTGAACGGACTTGGTATTGATGTGAACTGGCCCATCGTGTTGAGGCCCACTAGAATCGCCGAGCTCCAGGTCACGAAGCACCTCGACACAGCTCACGTTGCCTGCCTTCGAGTTTTCCCTGGCATCAGGCCAGAGATGCTCGACTCAGTCCTGCGCGTCCCCGACCTTCGTGGTCTCATTCTTGAGACCTTCGGCATGGGTAACGCTCCCAGCGGTATCGACGGCAGCTTGACCAAAGTCATCAAGGCGGCCGTGGACCGGGGTGTCATCGTCGTCAACGTCAGTCAGTGCATGAGCGGCTTCGTATCTCCCGTCTACGGCCCCGGAACGGAACTCGGCCGCGCTGGTGTCATCTTCGGTCTCGATCTCACAGCCGAGGCCGCCCTGACCAAGCTGTCTTACCTGCTCGCCATCCCCAGCCTTACCACTGCCCAGGTCAGCGCGAGAATGTCGCAGTCGCTGCGGGGCGAAATGACCGAAATGGCTCTTCCGGTATTTTCGCATCCATCTGGCTCACTCGACTCAGTCGTAGCGCGACTAACCGCGTCAGAATCGGCATTTACCGTCCTCGGTTACGCCATACGAAATGGCGATGTCCGGACGGTGAAGGAGATCCTGGATAACGACGCCCAGCACGAGCTCCTGAAGGCCGCCGACTACGCGGGCAATACGACTGTCCACCTGGCGGCCGTCGGACCCAACATCGAAATTTTGCGCGAAGTGCTGACGAGGGGTGCCAGTGTGCATTCTAGAAACTTGGCCAACAATACGCCACTCTATCTCGCGGAGAAGATGGGCAAAGAGAAATGCGTGCAGTTGCTAAAGGAGACGGGCGCTCACCTATGGCAGGAAGAGGAGGCTATCTTGGATTCTGTTCACGCATCTACATCCGGAGGAGTTCAAAAGTAGGAAACTAGAAAATTCTGCGTTTGGTTTTGTGTTCCGCATGTCCGCAGGCGTTTCTTGGAGTCAATGTTATTTAGAGGTCATATCTCAACGGTAATGAAGCAAGATAATGATGATTTACAGAATTATAAACTGGTCTCGGATACTTGTATCAGGACCAAGAAAGAAGAAGAGATGATTGCAGACATTTCCATGAGTCTATTGAAAACTACCAACTTTAAAGCTATCTGAACAGGAGAAACAAAGCTAGCGATATGTTCAAGTGTTCGGTGTACACTCTTCAACTGTGGTGTTTAATGATTACTGACCAATTTTCGTCTGTGAACACTCACTGGTTTCATTTCACCAGACAGGTAAATATACACCCGTGGGTTGAGCATGGTAACGCGTCCACAGCAAGCAGTCCTTTGAGGTTGCACTCGGTTTTCTATCAGTTTTGAGGCATTGCTTATATTCAAAATCCGTCAATAATCGAGTAAGAACGAGATCAGGATTGAATCTGTTCGTGCATAAATCCCGTGACCTTGTACTTTCTTATCGCGTTCATTGTGAGTCAATTTTCTCACATTGCCCGCGTTCGCCGCCATGGCACGGAGTCTTAGGTGCATTTGTCCATTTGACTTATTCCGGATATCGCTGCATTATGATGTTCTAGGTTTTTGCCGGAACCCCCCTGCTCTTTGTCGGCATCTTGAACCTCTGTCGCTATTTGCCATAGTTGAGAAGCCGCTATAGAAGAAATCAGCATGGGTCTCAATCACATTACCTAGGCCCTAATTTGTCGCTCTACGTGCTAGAATTGGCTGCAACCCGTTTGAAAGCTTGTATCCGGTAGTACTCTTGTGAGTCAGGTGGCACGTATTCTCTTCAAGTGGTTGGTGTCCCGGAGCCCCGGGTCGGCCCCACCTCGATTTCGGCGCCGGGGCTTAGCGCGGCTCTGAAATTTTGGGAGATTTCCCATTTGCACCTGCACCTGACATCTTCACCAACCGTCATTGACTTGACCGCCCAACTTCCCGACAACACCCACTTTGCGACATTAGTCTCCAGCCCGAAATCGAAGCCCACCTACTTACGAACAGCGTCGAGCACTCGAACACCCGAGGAAACTTGCTCGACCGTCAACCCGAGCAACGTCCATCCTTCCACCCCCCAAACCCGTCAGACTTTATCGCGGAACACCACAAACACACATCTATAATGTCTTCAGCCTCCGCACAACCCGCGGGCCAACCCGCCCAGCCCCAAAACCAGACCCCCCCAATCGTCCACAACGCCGCCATTGCAGGCGTGATCCTCTGCCCGCTCATCATGCTGATGCCGCCCCGGCGCATCGACTGGCGCACCTTCATGCTCTGGACGGGCTTCTCCGCCTCGGGCAACCAGCTCGCCTACGACTACACGGGCCAGTCCATCTTGCAACGTGTGCAGTCCCGCCTGGGACGCATGTTCCCCACCGCGCTGCCCGAGCAGGCGCAGCGTACCAAGCAGCTCCTGCGCGAGGAGCGGATGCGCCGCGAGGGCTTGACTGAGGAGCAGATGCGTGCCATCGAATTCAAGAAGCGCAATTTTGCGCAGAGGTTGTGGTACGGCAGCGAGCCCGAGGACTGGGACGCCAAGAGGGGCGCCGAGCACGCGAAGGCGCTTGCTGAGGGAAAGGGGCTGGGCGACTTGATTGCCGAGCAGGTTTCAGAGGTTTGGAGCGGCGCAAGGAAGGAGGAGGAGGAGCAGAATAAGAAGTGGAATGACGACAACGACAACGACAACGAAAAGAAACAATAATGGATTCGGCAGTACAAGGGTTGCGGCTAGTGTAGGATATGACAACAAGAACGAACAGGAGCTTTAGAGGAAGTCATCGACCCGAGCCTACACATGGAGGCCGGTGGGGAGTCCAGCAAAAAGGCGTTCAGGATTGCGGTTTGGAGCATTAACGGGTTGGTGATCATCTCCCATGGCTGTACATTACCATTGTCGAGCACCGTCGCACAAGAAAAGTCTGCATATCTTAATTTCGTGACGTGTATGACGAACTCGCCATCTTGCGAGATGTGGCCGGCTTTTTAGCTCGGTGTTCAATTTTAGATATCCTCCTTCCATTTTGACCCGCTAGACGCCAATATGCATGTAAATATACTTTTGTCTTATTGAACCCTCCTCTTTTTTTCTTGCCATCACACATCCATTACTCCTCACGACGCCTTGCTCTCCAGAGTCGGGGTCTCGTCGAGCCGCAGGTCGGCCAACTTCTCCACTAGTTGCCTTCCTGCCCCTGCCGGTCTCTTAGGGCCTTTTTTTGTTTCTGCTTCTTTATCTGCTTCTGCTTCTCATCATTTTTGTTGTTTCGTCCTGTGTGAAGCTTACCCTTTGCTTTTGCCCGGGACGACTCCTTCTTGGCCTGCTTCTTGGCCGCCCGCGCCTCGGTCTTTTCGTCAAAATCCGCAGTCCAGGCCGCCAGCAGCTTGCCCACCTCCTCCGCACGCTCGTCGGAATCGGCGGGTATGCCGAGCTCCTTCTTGATCGCCTTGCGGCGGTTGCCAATCTGCATCTGCCGCCGCCTCGCGGCGCGGTTGGGGCCTCCCTGCTGGCTGTCGCCGCCGTTCACCGAGCTGGGGGCAATGGAAGTGCCGTCGCCAGCCACAGACGCGCTTGTGTCGATGACGACCTTGGCCTTGGTGGGATTCACATCGATCATGCAGGGAAGCGGCTCGGCAAGTGATACAGGATTGGGAGTAGGAACAGGAGCTGGTGCTAGTGCTGGCTCTGTTGCTGCTGGGGCCTCGTTGGGAGTTGCTGTCGCTGTCGCTGCGTTGTCCTCTGGCTTTTCTTCTTCCTCTTCCTTCTCGGCCATATTCGTGCTCTTTCTTGCCCCCTTCCTTCCCCTTGGCTTCGTCTCTTGAGCTTTCAGCGCAGGCGACACGGGTTCGGACTCGGGGTTCGGTGTGCTAGCCAAGGAAGACATCTGGGAGCCTCCTATCACCGCTAATTCCTCACGTCTTTGTTTTCTACGCTCAGCTCGTTCGGCGCGAGCCAGGGCTGCAGCCTGTCTCTTGTCGGCAGGAGTTGGTGGGACATCTATATCCATGGCATCGGTTGAGTTCTCCTAATGGTGGGGGTTAAAAACGTGACGGCTAGGAGACTCGGGGGAGCCAGGCGAACCGTGGGTGCATTGAGCTTGACGCCACCATCCTCCACGTCGGAGTCGGAATCAGCTTCATGGATCTTCTTGCTCATAGTGCCGACAGGTTGTGTGAACTGGAACTCTGGAAACTCTGCGCAACAACGACCCTCTAGCTAATTAAAGCTCCCCCAAGCGAAGGGGGAAAAAAAAAGTTGCTGCAACCAGGGGTCTCTTTTCTCCATTGTTATCTTATCGCCACGTGATAACGTGGTGTCGTAACGGTCAAACGTGAGGTTCCTTTGGCTAAGATTGTCGCGCCGCACGCACAGCGGAAGGGCCCAAGGGGCCCCCGATCTCCGACAACGCACGGACGACAATGATTCCAGTCTGAGCCGGCATTCTGGATAGGGCTGGTTTGGGGTCCTCAAGGAACGCAAATTCAAATGTTGCCCGAGTACGTCATCTCATCGGCCTGGATGCTTTCTCGTGTTTCTCTCCGGTACCTTGATGAATGTGGCTTGCCCTCTCGAGGAACCATTCCTAGGTGGATGACGGCCGAGCCACCATTCGTCGTAAGTGCCCCAGACCTGCGCAGTGCGCACTCGTTGTCGGTGGGCTGACGGCCTGTCGTGGGTACTTTGTCCAATTTGTTGCAAAAACAAGGCAAGTGAATGTCAGCAACTGTCGGAAGCCTAGCTGACATGTATTAGTTTCGTGACCACGACAGCGGCTATTGCTGGAACCCAGCTCTAGGTCTGCTCTCGGTGTTTTCGTACATCCATTTCCTCGCAGACGCGGAGTCAGTTTTGCCGCGCGATGAAGAGGCGCCACGAGATTGACCTGAAAGAGTCAAGCAAAGGGAAGCTGAGATGCGATGAGCCCACAGTGTTGGGCAGATTCTTTAGGAAGGCGCAGTATATAGCGGGTGTCGCGAAAGCCACATTCCGGTCGGTGATGTCCTAAGGGTCCATTTATGAGGCACACCGGGGAGCTTTATTGGGGACCCCCGGATGTCCGGGGTGCCTTCTTGTCAGTCATGCCAGGGAGAGGCCGATTAGAAGTTGAAGGTTTTCCTACCCCGCCAGGCTGGTCCTTGTCAAACAGCGGCACGACAGTTGATGGGATGGAATAATGGAATGAACACCTCATGCTGTTGTTGCTCCCGCAACGCTGTGGAATCGCCGAGGGTTTCCAGGGTTATGACCTTGGGAGCCTTGGCGATGTGGTCGCGCCCTGCAAAACAAGCGTCGGAGCCAGGCTGCCAGGATGCTGCCCGTCGTCTGCATGCACTGCATGCACTGCATGGATCGGCAGTCGCTGGTCATGGGGCACTTCATCATGTATCGTCGCTCTAGCCTCTGAAGGATCGCAAGATGCTGCTATGATTGGCTCTCAAGGTTTCGAGGCGCTGACAGTTGATCATCCAACCTCACTATATTGTATGCGGATCAATCAGTGTGGTGGATGACTTTCTGTCTGGAGTTGAAAGAGGTGTGCCAGGCTGCGTCAAGGCCCCCAGGAAGGGTGGACGCAGCAAGACTCCTAAAACGATAGAAGAGAGGCGGCGGGCATCTCGACCTTGGTTGAGATATGGCTCAATACCGAGGCCAAGAGTGGCAGAGTAGAAAGATACGCACGACAGAGGCAAGAAAGGCCGCTGGAAGAATGGTCTGGTCGAGGTACATCGTACAGCTCACCTGCCACGCCGGGTCGGCAGGCTGGTAAGGTGCTCCATACCTTACGCAACTATCTGAAACTTGTGGGTCCTTGTTCCAAACATAGCACAACTCCAGGTGCAGCCACAAGCAGTCTCCGTTCCGCAACGTGTTTGAGCCGCTGCCACAAAGGGCTGCCTGCCATATGCCGGGGAATAGACACGAATGACACTGATGGAAAAAGGGTTGGCATTGCTGACACAGCCTCAAAGCCGGGACTACTGCAAGCCTACTGCACCCTGCCCAGACTCCCGTTTGGTGGTGTGCCATTGTACATTCCCCCTTCCCCTCTCACTGGGCCACCTCCCACGCACTCCCGTCACCAGCATCCAGTCGCCGAGAGGGGCGGGCTGCGGGCAGTGTTTTGGGCCCCTCTTCACTGCTAACCAACCACACCGTGGTACCCAAGGTATAGATATCTAAGTACTTTATCTATCCCGGTGTTGGGTACTCTGCCTCCCATTTGGCGGGCTTGGGCAGAAAACAGAAACAAGTCTAGGAAGGCTTGTGTTTGAAAGCTGGGCTGTTTAAAAGAAATAACCTCCTCACATACCCCCTCGTGTCGGGCGAGAACGTGTCCTGCTGCTGTTCCTAGATTCCTCCCTCGACCGACGACCTATTAGCCTGAGGCGGCACTCCCTTCACTCGTTTTCCCCTACAACCCCTAGGTGTTACACAGGAGGAGCTCTCCTCTCTGCGCTTCGACGCCCAAACACCTAAACCGTATTCTACTGAACCGGGCATCCGAAGTACCTTAGTGTAGCTCAGGTTGAGAGCACAGGCATCCTCCCAGCCCACTAATTCATAATTCTCCTACCGCGCGCCTGAGGTAAACCTGCAATTACCTGACAATCTCTTCTCAGTCCCTTTGCCCTCTCTGCTTTTGTGGCTTTGGTCCATTTCTGAAGGGCTCATTGATCCACGCCAACTGGCTGCATCGAACAAATATCCACGACCCCCCGACCGCGTTACGACACACACCTCATTTCAACCTTCCCGCTGTCACATTTCTCCACGTCCCATCCCTTTCCGGTCGGTACCTGGGCCATTCTCCATCTCACACTAGTCCGATTCGCCTGCCTCGCAGCCTCCCTCAGCCTAGTTCAGCCACTCCAAGCGAGATTTCGATTTTGAGAAAAGGACGAGACGTCGCCCAGATTCCCAGTCCCCTGGTCTCACCTAATTCCAATCCCTTCGTAATTGGCATCCGCCGACCCAGCACATCATGGCCGCCAACGACTATTACCACAACAAACCGCTACCGCCCTCAGCAGCTTCTTCCTCGCCTGCTCCATACTACGGCGCAGCTGCATACAACAACATTCCCTCAGCCAGTTCAACGCCCGCTCCTCCCTACAGCTCAATACCTCCCGCGTCCGGCGCCAGTCAACCACCACCACCGCGCGCCAACACCGTATCCCCCTTCGAAAGTGTCTTTGACGATCACGTTTATCCGGTCGACTCGACGCAGGACGGATTTCGCCACAACGGAAACGCACAGAGCCCTCAAACCATGAACAACATGAACACAGTAAACACCGCCTACAATGGCCACGGCCAAACGCCCTATAACAGTCACGATGCCCACCAGACGAACCCGTACGCTCAGTCGGACACCGGCTATTATGGTCATTCTACGTCCCCGGATTCTAGCAGGCAGAATGTGGCCGACGAGATCCCGCTGCAAAGCCGGCAGCCGACGCAGCCGCACAAGGATGTGGAGATGAGTGAGAATGATCATGTCTACGACGCACCACAGGGATCCCGTCGCTCAAAGAGCCAGCGCGACAAGAACAAAGTTGGATTCGGTCAGCTGGGAATGTTTGGCGCCGGCAGAAAGGGTATTCCGTGGGTTGTCTATATTTTCACACTGGTTCAGGTTGCGGTCTTCATCGCCGAGATTGTCAAGAATGGTAAGCCGAATCAAGTAGTATTGCATTGTTCAATGGCATCGATGCTAACGAACCACAGCTCAACTAACCGGTTCTCCCATCATGACCAAGCCCTCTTTCAACCCCATGATTGGACCCTCGACTTACGTCATGATCAACATGGGTGCTCGCTATGTAGCTTGCATGCACAACGTCAAGGGCATTCAAGATCTCGGCCAGCCTATCACCTGGCCTTGCCCGAACTCGACCTCGAGCGATGCCAGCAACCCCTCGAACAAGTGCGGCCTGGGCGATTTGTGCGGCTTTGGTGGCGTACCGGAGCCTACCTACAACAACATCAACCAGTCGCCGGAGCCAAATCAGTGGTTCCGCTTCATCACGCCCATCTTCCTGCATGCAGGTCTCATCCACATCGGCTTCAACATGCTTCTGCAGATGACGATAGGAAAGGAAATGGAGGTAGCCATAGGCTCGATACGCTTCTTCTTGGTCTACGTTAGCGCGGGCATATTTGGCAATGTCATGGGCGCGAACTATGCCGGCGTTATGACCGCGTCTACGGGTGCTTCGGGCGCCCTTTTTGGCATCATTGCTCTCACCCTGCTCGATCTCTTGTACTCTTGGAAAGACCGCCGCAGCCCTGTGAAGGACCTGATGTTCATCATGTTGGATGTCGTCATCTCTTTCGTACTGGGTCTGTTGCCAGGACTCGACAACTTTGCCCATATTGGTGGCTTCCTGATGGGTCTCGCGCTCGGCATCTGTGTCTTGCATTCTCCCAATTCCTTGAGACGGCGACTAGGCGCCGAGGACCCATCATACGCGTCCATGAACCTCACTCCTAATCAAGGCGGTCCGCCTCCGTTCCTGAAGAATCCCATTGGGTTCTTCAAGGGCCGGATGCCACTTTGGTGGGCATGGTGGTTGGTTAGAGCCGGCTTTTTGCTGACTGTCATCATCGTCTTCATCGTCCTTCTCAACAACTTTTACATCTACCACAATACTTGCAGCTGGTGCAAGTACCTCAGTTGTATTGTAAGTTACTTGAGAATAGGTATCTACGATTGTCTGCTAACCTTCAAATAGCCCGTCAACAACTGGTGCGAGCTTGACAATTTTAAGATCACTTCATCCTAAAGAGGTGACAGTATTGGAGGATCAACCGAATTAATGCTACGAGAGTTTGCATTGCGTTGGTTTATGGACTTCGGTAAGGGTGGTTCACGATTTGCATTGCTCAGCGACGGCGTCTGGTTCAGGATGGGTATTTTATTAAAAGAATAATCTTCTCCTATACGTCCAATAAAGACAAATCGTCTTCATAGGCAGAGTTACACATAAGGCTGCGGAATTCGCCAGGAAGTGCCAGGGTTCTACTCGCTGCCGCTGATCAACCAACTGTCTCGGCATTACACAGGCGCAACGCCGTCCAAGGTATCCCGAGACTTGCTCTCCTTCTTCGCATTCTTCTCGCGCTGCATGTTGATCACACCCTTGAGAAACAGAATAGGCAGCTTTCCGTGTCCGAGAATATTGACCGACATGTCTAGGTAGCTAGTAGCGAATGCATTCCATAGCTGTCCTGCGCGAGGATGCGAGAGGAGCGGCCGAGGGAAGTAGGGGTCATTGACTTTGAAGGCATCAATAGCGACGGCGACTCCAGCAGCATCTAAGGAAATGGTTCTGACTTGATTGAAATCCAGCAGCCATAGGGTCGTGGCGCGTTGGGTAAAGTCCTTGATGTCCTCTGACTCGGGTGCAATCGATCTGGCTGGCTTCGGCATGTCTCTGAAGTTGGTTTCGTTGTGGACATGCCTCATTGACACGGCGCAGCTTCCGAGTACAAACTCCACGTCTCTCGCATCAGTTCTGGCCTCCCAGTGCATGACCGCGAGAACTTCTCCCATGTCCTTGGCGATCTCGACCATATCGAGACCAAGTTCGTCTATTTGGTTCAAGTGAAGTTTGAAGTTACGCAGTGAAAAGAAGAGAGTTGAAGTTCGTCCCTCCAAGGATCCAAGATACGGACGAATCAAGCAATCTTTGTTTGCAGGGTCAGCATGTGCTTTGGCGCGGATTCTTGGCGCGCAAAACTTCTCAATCAGAAGTTTACGGACTGGTTCTGCAAGAGGGAGAATACGCTCGGCCACAAGACCTTCGGTAGGAAAGTTGATGTCTTTCTTAGCGGCGTCTATAACGGCGGTGTTTTTGAGCCAGAAGCTCTTGTGGTCCGCCTTGATGAAGCCACGATTCTCTGGGACCGAAACGTTGATGATTTTATGCTTAAGAACGGCGTCCCTGATGATGATGTGCATTTTGTAGTCGGTCCAGAGTTCCATTGAATCGGCAACTTTGCCTAATTTAATTGCTGTCGTACTTCCGTCGAGCGAGAAGATAGCGCCACAAGCTCCCGCGCCGATCTTGGTATAAGTGTCGTGGTCTGAGTTTTGTGCGGCCTCTGAAGAATTAGTGGACACAACTGTGCGGATAGACAGCATGCGCTTGAGATCGGTCTCAAGCGAAGTCCGAGATTTAGGACGACTGGAGGTTTCGGAAACCTCATCCAGCAGCGAAAGAAGCTCCATGTTGAGAGCAGCGTCCCTAAGGACTGAGGAGCAGCCATCTAAGGTAGGTAAACGTGCTGGATCCATGATGGTAGTTTGTAGTAGTGCACTTGTATGCAAAGAGTTTCTTGAATGCAGGCTGGGTAATCTGAGTGGGAAAAACAGAGAGAGGAAGAAGTTCCAGTCTTTCTAATAGTCAAGGCCTGGGGCTATCAAGGTTGGAAGGAGGTTGTGATTCAGACTTTGCTACCTACCTTACTGAGCTGACCACTTGGGTGACAAAATACACCGCCGGTCGCCAGGCTCCTTCACAGCGATCTGCTGAAAACACACAGATGCTAGATCCGTGCATACTATAAAAAACCCACTGTAAGCCAAAAACAAAAGGCAGCATTGATTTTTGATTATTACTTTGAGGAGAACTATTCTTGTTTAGATAGTGTTAAAGGGGTAGTCTTCTTTAGGGGGCTCATGGAAACCGGCGCCTTAGAGAGTGACCCTGATACTAATTTAGGGAGTGCCCGCTCCCCTGCACCTCCCGTCTTTGGCGTCAATGTCGCGTCTCAGAGAGGAACCCTGCGTTAGTCATCAACTCGCGTCTTCTCTCAGCCACTTTAGAGTGGGTCGAGTCACGTCGACGTCAATCACGTCAAGCGCGTCTTCGCGTTAATGGGTTTCTGGAAGTTCCATCCCGTAGCAACAACCAAACGACGCCCCAAATCCACCTGACTATGAGGTCCGGTTGATTCACTCTGTACAATCCTACCACCACAGCCAAATTATCACAATGGCTACAGTGCTGCCTCAAAAGCGGGTGCTTGGAGAAACACCAAATACTCGTCGCAACATCCCGTCGACGCCCTCGTCCCTCAAGAAGCGCAAAGTCGAAGGGTTCTCGTCCTCGCCTGCCCACCATGTCGGCTCTCAGAAGAATGCAAAAAACCTCACAGGCTCTAGTCAACCCAAGAGCGCCTTCGAATCAGAAGTCCTAGAGAAGTTGAGCCAAGACATCTCCGACCTCAAGCAGAACAATACCGAAAAAGACCAAGCATGGGAGCGGCCTCCTCTCGTCGACTTCAATCCGGCCAGGGACAGCCTGACCTTTCAGCAAATCGAGGCAGAGGAAGGCAGTTTACATGGCGGTCGAGCAACAGTCAAGCTATTTGGTGTCACTGAGCAAGGTCACTCAGTGATGCTGCATGTCACGGATTTCAAACACTACCTCTATGTCGCCGCTCCAGTGGCGTTCCGACCCGAAGACTGCAATGCCTTCAAGGCCTATCTCGAGTCACAAGTAGCACAGCACCAACCCTGCATCTACTCAGTCGCCTTCCTGATGAGGGAGAACATTTACGGCTTCCAAGGAAACGTTAAGAGCCCATATCTCAAGGTTACTGTCATGGACCCCAAATTCATCGCCAGGGTTCGGACCACTATCGAGTCAGGCAATGCCAACTGGAAGGGTCTGTGGAAGGGCATGGAAGGTGGCATAATGACATTCGACAACATCCAATACGTCCTTCGTTTCATGGTTGACTGCAAGGTGTGTTTTTCTCGTATCACCCGTCCCGACGAGGCTAACATTTTCCCGCCAGATTTTTGGAATGTCTTGGGTTGAAGCCCCTGCATCAAAATACCAGGTCCTGCCCCAGTCCCAACGACAATCGAACTGCCAAATCGAAGCCGAGATCAACTACCTCGACTTGATAGCTCACAAGCCAGTGGGAGAGTGGTCCAAGATGGCTCCTTTGAGAATCATGTCGTTCGATATCGAGTGCGCTGGACGCAAGGGCATTTTCCCAGAGGCGACACAAGACCCCGTCATTCAGATTGCGAATGTCGTCACAAGATATGGAGAGAAGAAGCCCTTCGTGCGGAATGTGTTCTGCTTGGATACGACCAGTCCTATCGTCGCTACGCAGATTCTCGAGTTCCAAAAGGAGGAGAAGATGCTTAGCGAGTGGCAGAAGTTCCTCATCAAAGTTGATCCAGATATCATAATCGGATACAACATCGCCAACTTTGATTTCCCATACCTTCTCGACAGAGCGAAGCAATTGAAGGTTGCGGGATTCGAGTACTGGTCTCGAATTCCAAGCATCCCTTCAAGGGCCAAGGAGACCAACTTCTCCAGTAAGCAAATGGGCAACCGCGATAGCAAGGCCACGAACACCAACGGACGGTTACAACTCGACCTGCTGCAGCTTGTTCAACGTGACCATCATCTGCGAAGTTACACGCTCAACTCTGTATGCTCCCAATTCTTGGGTGAACAGAAGGAAGATGTCCACTACACGATGATCACAGAGTTGTTCAACGGTACCCCTGAGTCACGCCGACGTCTCGCGCTGTACTGTTTGAAAGACGCATACCTCCCGCAGCGGCTGATGGACAAGCTATCTTGTCTCGAAAATTACACTGAGATGGCGAGAGTCACGGGTATTCCGTTCAACTTCTTGTTGTCCAGAGGACAGCAGGTCAAATTCATCAGTCAGCTTTTTCGGAAAGCTCTGGAACAAAAGCTGGTCATTCCCAACATGAGATCTGAGGGTAGCGATGAACAGTATGAAGGTGCCACGGTCATCGAGCCGACCCGAGGATACTATGATGTGCCTATTGCAACCCTCGATTTCGCTTCTCTGTATCCGAGTATCATGCAAGCCCACAACTTATGCTATACAACACTGGTCAACAAGAAGGCCATCGAAAAATTCGATCTGAAGAAGGACGATGACTACATTGTCACCCCAAACGGCGACACCTTTGTTACTACCAAACAACGAAAGGGTCTGCTTGCTCAAATTCTTGAGGAACTGTTGACTGCGCGAAAGCAGGCCAAGCGTGAACTGGCTGGGGAAACGGATCCATTCAAGAAAGCAGTATTGAACGGTCGACAACTGGCTTTGAAGATCAGTGCGAACTCTGTGTACGGACTCACAGGTGCGACAACTGGCAAGCTACCTTGTCTTGAAATCGCCAGTAGCACAACAAGTTTCGGCCGACAGATGATCATGAAGACCAAGGAGGAGGTGGAGAAGAAGTACTGCATTGCCAATGGATACACACATGACGCCCAGGTCATTTATGGTGACACTGACTCTGTCATGGTCAAGTTCGGCACCAAAGACCTCCCTGAGGCGATGAAGTTTGGCGAAGAAGCTGCGAATTTCGTCTCCTCCAAGTTCGTCAAGCCAATCAAGTTGGAGTTCGAAAAGGTATACTACCCATACCTGCTCATCAACAAGAAGCGATACGCCGGCCTGTACTGGACGAAGCCAGACAAGTACGACAAGATGGATACGAAGGGTATCGAGACGGTGCGACGAGACAACTGCTTGCTCGTTCAGACTGTCATTGAGAAGGTGCTTCGAATGATGCTCATTGACCAAGATGTCCAGGGAGCGCAGGAGTAAGTGTACATCGTCCACTCGCCAAACCGTGTCGACTGACATTTCTTCCAGCTACGTCAAAGATACGATTGCGGACTTGTTGCAAAACAAGGTTGATATGTCGAAGCTGGTCATTACGAAGGCGCTTACCAAAGACGACTATGCAGCCAAACAGGCTCATGTCGAGCTCGCCCAGAGGATGAAGAAGCGTGATGCAGGCTCGGCACCAGGTCTCGGTGATCGAGTTGCCTATGTGATGATCAAGGGTGCGGCAGGTGCAAAGAACTACGAAAAGTCTGAGGATCCCATCTACGTTCTCGAGAACAACGTGCCGATCGACACCAGATACTACCTTGATAACCAGCTTGCGAAGCCCCTGGGCAGAATCTTTGAGCCCATTCTGGGTGAGACCAAGGCGAACTCGCTGCTCACGGGAGCGCACACGCGCACCATTGCAGTATCGGCGCCGGCCGTCGGGGGTCTAATGAAGTTTGCAAAGAAGACGCAAACTTGCATGGGATGCAAAAAACCACTAAGAGGCAAGGAGGAGAGCGCGGGGGCAGTGTGCTCGGATTGCGCGCCTCGGGTCGGCGAATTGTACAAGAAGACGCTTGACAAGACGTCGGATCTCGAGGTGCGATTCGGCCGGCTGTGGACGCAGTGCCAACGTTGTCAGGGCAGCATGCACTGCGAGGTGATTTGCAGTAGCAAGGACTGCCCCATCTTTTACATGCGCATGAAGGCGAAAAAGGACTTGGAAGATGCAGGGAGGGAGCTGAAGAGATTCGACTTTGACCAAGCGGCAATCTGGTAGAAGGTGTGCCAAGAAGTGGGATAGAAGATGGGGTTGGGGGGTGTGATTTTTCACGACGTTAGGCTTTTCTTTCCCCCATGAGCCGACCTTGAGGACATACTGCGGCTGCAGACGCAGCGGTGGCGTGGAGATCTCCAGGTCTACAGCAGGTTTACGCATGTGGTTTCGGGGTAGGCGTTTCACGGCGTTTCCTCGATGGATTTTTTTTCCCCGCCTCACCGGTCTCTACATGGATTCTATGGAGTTTTTCTGAATTCCGGAGGAGGCAGGAAATGGGACCAGCAGATGAAGCTAAAGTATGAAGGAGCATCAACATGCAATATGATATTCAAAGATGGAGAAGCATCCTCCATAAGCCGGAAAAAATCGGGATGGATATTGAGAGGAGTGGTCCTGTATGTTGTCGCAATATGGTACGAGGAGAAATGAAAAGCAGAGAGATGAGAATGAGCTTAGGTTGCGGGATTATTCCCACTGAAAAAAAAGTGTCTCATTCCATGGACAAGTTCCGTTGTGGGAATCGGAGAGTTGGACGGAGGTCGCAAGGACGTGTGAGCGAGTTCTGGTTGTGTGTGTGAATTGAGTAAAAGAGAACTGGCAAGTGCTGTGGTTGGTTGGAGGTTGGAAGGGGGGGAGGACTGGTCAGATCGGTCGCCCCGGGCGCCGCCGGCAGCGGAAGGGCGGACGTGACAGCAGCCGTCGCCTTCTCTTTCTCTCGAGTCCTGGAGCAGTGGAGTTTTGTCGGGCGTCACTGTCGGTCCAGGCGAGCCAGGTTCAGGCCGCCTTACCCAGCTGCTGGATCGGCGTCTTTTGGGTGG